CTGCTCGGCCAAGCCGCTGTGCTTAGATTTCATTGGGAACCTCGACTGAGGAAATTAATAAAAAAAAACCTCTTAGGTTTTTTTTTTCGGTCGGAACCTGGTCTACATAGAGACTGGAGTTCATTGCTTGCAGCTCGCCCATTATTGCATCCTTGACATGTCATCTTCCATACATCTGAGATTTTCCTCACAGACGTTGCTCAGATTTTCTATCCCTCTGAAATGAAATTCAGGATTAAGGGTGCAGCAAGAGCCTACCGGTACACAAAGAACAAGTGATGGAGGCAATGTGATTATTTAAAGTTATGTAAAAAAAAAAAAATTGATATGTTGTTTAACTGTAACTGTTCCAGATCCTTTCAATTGCAAGAAGAGATTTTGGAAGATTTTGCGGGATTAAGGAAGTTAGAGCCAGCTACTTTTGGTTTACAAGTACATGGGGTTTGATGCTTTTTCTCACTTGGTACATGTACATTGTATGTACAAAGAGTGTGGCATTAGGTTCCTGCACAGTGGAGGATTTTGTAGGATTGAGGAAGGTACCGGTAGAGCCCAGCTTCTATAGGGATTGATGCCCCTTGAATGTTTGAAGTACAAGTATGAAGAATGTGCCATGGGGTTTTTGTGCAGTTATGGTTATAGTTCTTAAAAACCAATATTTCATAGTAATTTCAACTAGGTGTGTGTGCTTGCTTGCTGGCAAAATTCTGGAACTCACAGAAGTTGTTAGAAGGTAACACACTGAGTATACAGTGTTTATATGTCCGTGAAGGGCAAAACCTAATTCGATTTACATTACCCGGACACAAAATTCCATCTTATGAAGAAGTTGTTCAGTTCTCTTACAAAATGGTTAAGGATACAAAATTTGGTTACAAACCACCTGAAGCTGTGCCAAATAAATATCAAACAAAAAAAACAAAAATGTACATGTACATGTATGAAAGGAAATGTTTTCAAAAGAGGATTGTAAATCCATATTGTGAGTGAAGTATTTTTATTGCCACTTTTTCATCTCGAGTTGAAGGCCAACGAGCACAGTGAATCTCAATGAATCCTGCTGCAAAGCTGTTAAATCGCAAGCAATATCTAGCTGAGATAGAAGGGAAATTAAGGCTAATAGAAGGTGGGGATTGATTAATAGGACAAGATGAGAGAGAGGAACACAAGATGCAGATGGTACCAGGCCAGAAAATTGATGAGGAGAGAAGGAGTATCGAGGAGGAGGATAGATCGGTGGGGAGTTTGAGGATGAGAAAAAGTGCCGCAAGATGCGGGGAGAAGCCGAAGGGAAGGAAATGCCGCAGAGAAAAAAAACGGTGGAGGATTGGAAAGATTGTTTCTCCAGAGGTTTTGTCATAACAAGAAACCCCCGAGGCGCACGTTCATTCCACCTGCCTTCAACTGCTCAACATCTTCTGGCTTTCTGGAAGAGTCACATGTCCGTTACCGTGGGAACCGCTGCCAGAAGCTCTTTTGCTCCTCCAGAGAGAGTTTAGTCCCTACTCTGTGCTCTGGAGACAAATGATATGATAAAGGACATTGTATCAACATAAGCGACATTTTAAAAAATTTCCAAGGGACCTGGATGTGGACTTATTTTGGGCTAGAAATATAAATTTGAGACAGAATCATGATTGAGTTTCATTTATCCTGGGGGTGGCTTGCACTCCACTGGGACGTTGAAAGTAACCATAGTCTTGCAACATATTCCCTATGTTGATAGTGATTTGAAGAGCTTCGTTGATAATTGTGTCCATTCTGTGTAGATTTGGAGTTGTTATTTTATAAGCTACCGGCAAATCTCATGGGGTTTCTGTGATTTTGTTGGAGTGATGTGTTTTCGTAATGTTTTTCAAAGCTTTCCTGTCAGCATTTAAGATGTAGGCCTACATTGTACACAATGTGTAGCTTGCTTGTACGTACGTGGGGTACATGTAGTAATAAAGATAACTCTGTCGTTAACTTATCAACTACAATATAAAATGCAGCCTACATGTACATGTAAATATTGTATACTCGTAAATGTTTCCTGCTATATTGGTCAATGTTCTATAAATTTAGGGTCAACTTTATTTCCTGACCCTGATAAGACATTTGTGATTTTATTGTGATTATGCACTTAATGCAGTCATCCTCAAAGACATGGGCGTTGCGAGGGGGGGGGGGCAAGGGGGGCACTTGTCCCCTCCCCCCCCCCTGGAAAACGAAAAAAAACAAGAAAAAAGGAAAAAAATAAAATAAAATAAAAGGAAATGAGGTGCAAAGCCATACATGTATTGCTGTTAATTTGATGGGGGGGGGGGGATGGTAGGGCAAATGCTCCCCTGCTCACGCTCGGAAAAATGATAAATTGAGAATATAATAAAAAAGTTAAGGAATTTTTGGGAAAAATTTGCTTTGCGCCCCCCCCCCCCCCGGAAAAAATCCTGGCGACGCCCATGCTCAAAGAGTGTTTATATTTTAAGCAAACTACCTGCCCAACAAATAAGAAACATTGTTTGAAATCATAAATGGTAAATTACAAAGTACCAAGGTAACAGGGACAGGAAAAATGTCACACTTCGGACTCTAAACGTATAGAATGTCATGACCACTATGTGAGTACTTGTACTCAAAAACTATGATTGTAAAATTTGTGAATCGGGCAGATGAAAACCTGCAGACACACTGATGAGCTTTAAAATGTAATAGATTGCATATGTACAAATAGAATTTGAAATGTGATACTGTAGAAGAACTACCCGAGATAAAAATGTAACCATAAAAGGTGGGAAGGAATTTGTTATGCCAAGCGTTAATCAGTTTATCAGCTGAATAATTTTATTTCACAATTTTTAGACATTGAAAGTGGTACTTTTTCATGGACAATCTATAGGAAGAAATGTACATTCACAGAGCACAGTGTGAAAAAAAGGTATTTACAATGCCAATTATCAAACACTTGACCAATGCAGAAAGCATACATGTATGTAGATGTCTCTTCATGCAAAACTTCAGTTAATTTGGTCTGTAGGGGAGTGAAGTCTATGGGGGGAGAGCAGAATCCTGCTTTGATAAAGTTACAAACAAACAACAAATAATGTAAAAATTGTGTTTACACGACAAGAAGAAACAAGAGATATGGCTGATATTGTAATACAACATTTGAGATAGAGTCAGTTTTTGTAGAGCTATCAGTTTATCGGCCTGTGTTTACTTCATGTCTTGGGACGTTCAGTTGCCTGAATTAGGTACATGAGCACATTATTGTAGTAGCGTGCATGAACAGGTTGGGTCATTACCAGTCGACGGTACTTCTAGGTTATCGTCCTAGATATGTAAGTGTCATATTTAGCCTTAGGGGAACAGACACTCCAACTACATTTGACACTTCCAAGTGTTAGTAGCAGGTGCTTAGACTAACCCCCAATATTGTGATTAGCTCTCCTCCTAGTCCCAGCCTGTGTTGGTACTCCGTAAAACAGTCGGTAACTGATACCCTGTTCAAATCGAGAGCTTGCACCCAGTAGTATTGGTCAAGTATTTTAATGATGTGAAAGTGGAACAGCTGTAACTGCCTAGAGGGGCAATTCTTCAAATGAAACAAGAACGGTTCATCTTTCTTGCTTTTTTGACATTTAAATTTGAAACCAGAATGAATACATGCTACATGTACATTGTATATATTGTGTATCACCTTGCACTTCTGCTGTATACTAATACATGTAGGCTTGGTCGAATTTCTCAGAGCAAATACTGCTAGAGGTTTTTGTTTTTCATGAAAATGTAGCTGAGAAGATTTCAGGAATAGCCATGTTGCTTGACATTTTGGCTGGTCATAAATTTTTGCAAAGAAATATTTTTTTTTGATAAGCAAATTTCTATGCTTAGCAGCACCATGAAATTTGAGCAGATTTTGGGGAAAAAAAGAAGTTGAGTTAGATTCATTCATTTTTAACTTTTTAAAGGAAATATACAATATTTGTTTTTGCTGTAATTTTCAGAAATGGATGGATTTGGGGTTTACTATTTTATACCAAATATTGTTAAACTGACCTGTTTAAAGTTTTGTGTTCATAGATGCTGGGGGGAAAAAAACAAGAAAAAAAATGCTGTTCTTGTAGTCTGGTTCCCTGACCCTACGGAAACTGACCATTTTATAGGGGTGCACTGAACTAATTCAAGTGAGAATTTCTACGCGAGTCATTAGCATAAAAAGTGCCCCCACAATTTCTTTTGAAAACGGAGACCGTTTGGCTTTAAAAACGGTGGAATTGTGTAAATATACCCAAGGATCAACTCCCTGGTTTTTGGGCTTCCATCTGAGGGCAGGCTTGATAAAATCATGGATGAAAAATGGGTCCTATTTGCCTATGAAAGTGGAAGGGTGCCACTTGTAAAATGGCTACATGCAGGCTTGGGAACTATCACTTTTTGGGAGGTGATTTTATTTGGGTGTGAATATTTAAAAATGTAATTGGCTAATGTACCTAAAATTGAAAAAAAAAATTAAAAGATGAAAGACAAGACAATAATTTAATTTTTGTTTGAGAAACCCCAGTGATGTTGGCTTGCATGTTATTTGGCCCTGAACTTTGTTGATTTTACACTGTTTTCAATGGGGCTTGAATTAGTACAGTGGACCCATAGGCCTCAGGGAATTTTCAGGTCAGGGAACCAGACTAGCTGTTCACAGATGTGAAACCGATGGCAAACAAAATGTGGACTAACTAAATTCGATAGTTTGGGGGCAGTATTTAAAAGTCAGTTTTTTTTTCCCAACGATGGTCGGCCGACCATTATTGGAAATTGATACAAAAATTCCACTTTTGAAAATGACAGCACACCAGGTGCCATGATTTCACATGATACTTGAGACTATTATCCACTTACATTGTACACTTAGGTATTTCAGAATATTTTAAGGTATTTCATAATATTTTTGTGGTTTTGTTTGTGAAGTTTCCAAATGTTGTAACCCAGTAAAAGAAAATCTTGTTGTTTTGTTTCTTCACCAGCTACGCCGGGAGGAGTCCGCATCCTTGGAACGTCCCATTGTCATCTTGCGGGGATCTGATGCGCGTGAACTGATGAACATCGTTAACCGACAGACTGAGGCTAGAGCTCGCATCATGACCCCACCTGCTCAGCCCCCTCAGGTAAACTCCAGGCCAGTCAAGAACAAAATTACTCAGTCAACTTGGTTTAAAGGCTAGGTCATGCTGGACATGCAAGTGAACGTGAATTTGTGACTTTACCACTGCAATCACTCACTCTGCAAATTCAAAAATGTTGTATCACATTTCAATTCTGGCATATTTTGCCACTAATATCAGGGGTGTGAAATCTCAGCTTTAAAGCTGATTTCAGCTTTTTATGTTTTGGATTTCAGCTTTCTTTCCCTCACTTGCTGTGTACAAAAGTATAGGAAATTTCCAAAGTTCAGCTGTTTAACACCTTTTTCAGCTGTTTTCAGCTATTTTTATTAGTGGTCACTCACACCCCATGTCAAATTTGTTTCACATGACATTCGCATGAAGTATGAAAGGTAGCCATTTCGGTACTGACTCCCAAAAGGCTTTTGTGGGATACATGTACCGGTACGTTGTCTTTGTTTTCTACTCTTACTATTTTTAGCGGACCAAAAAGCACTGGCCTTTAAGATGCGGGATGTGCACATAAACATGCAGTCTGTTTGGGAAGCATTTGTTTTATGGGAATACTGGATATCCTTTAACAACAAACATTGTGGGCATTGAGATGTTTCTTAAGATTTGAAACTTTGCATACGATTTGAAAACTTTGAAAAGATTTGAATTTTGCACGGTGGTAGTGTATATATACATGTGCTAGAGAGGTTTTCGGTGACACCATGTGGAGTAATCTCTTTGAGAAAAAGTGTGGTTCTCAAAAAAAAGATTGGTTGTTAAAGTCTGTTTGGGATGCATTTGCAGGGGTTTTATGGTTTCGCAACCAACCGGTTCTTTTCAGAACCACACTTCTTCTCAAAAGAGATTATTCCACATGGTGTCACCTCAAACCTCACTGTACATGTAAGTAAACTTTTAAGGAAGTATCCTTGGAGTATTACAAATGTGTTCAAGATCTGTATTAGTTTCTGGTTCTGTGAGCAAATGCACAATTACACTTCTTTTGTACATGTAGTCTCATAGAAAAGTGTCCAATTTGGCCAAAGGGCCAAAAACGCTCATTTTAAATTCATGTATTTAAACCCCTTTAGACCTAGTCATCCTAATAATGCACTCCTTGATAGACCTTTCTGGATGTTTGAATGATAACATTAATCACAGTGATTGCCTGAAGTAGGGCATAAGACAGCCCCAATGATTACCCCAAATAAAGCCATCCAGAGACTCCAAATCGATGACTGTGTTCCTGCTGCCGCGAGGCCTTGTCAGTCCCGCGACCCTCTGTCGATCATTTCACGCCCCGCTGCTTCATTCCGCCCTCTTCCTGTTCAAGTCAGACGGAATATCGGCACATCTGTCCATTGCTACCTTGGCTTGGGGTTTTACGCTGTGCTGGCTGTGCCGTTCCTCTGTTTTTCCTTTTCTTGTTCTTCAGTCGGATATTCAAGGTTTTTGTTCGGTCTGTCGGTGAGAAGAACTGAGCTGGATTGAGATGAAGGTTGCTTAGCTTGCTTGACTTCCCTCATCTGAAGCCAGTTATTGCCTCACCCTGAAGAACCGAGGAAGGGAAAAAACTAAGCACTTAAAATTCAGCCCACACTTGATCGGAGGTTTCGGAACATGTACGATGTAACAGTGCTTGGAATAAGAGCTGTCTCACAGCCTCACTTTAACAAAAAAATATAGTTCTGCCAATCTGGTAATGCTGCGCCGAATATTTTAAATTTTGGACTATGTGATCACCCACTGAATATCTCAATAGTTTTTCACTAAACAGAATACGGAAAAAATAGGAATTGTCTTGAAAAACGTCCGTTATACACATTAGTTGAGGTTTGACTGTTTTTCAAATGGCCGTTTTTGTGGACAGCCACATGATTTGAGAGCATGTGTGAGGCCTTAATTTGCACTTTAAACTCTGTCAAATATCCGCTTGTTAGCTGTCCCAAAAAGTATTATATTGATACATACATACATGATATTCACACCGATACATGTACCAATAAGAAGTTTGGACGTCAATTTCAATGGACGATAATATTTGAAAATTCAATCAACTCCAAGTTCCAATTATCGAATAGCAAATTACTAAAAAATGCACAGCACTACAATCTGGGATAAAACTGGGATTTGCAGAACACGGAATTCCACAAATAATGGGGAAAAGTCCAATAATTCAAAATCTGCTTGGCAGAGTTTTCTGAAGCAACAGTGCTGTCTCACGGCCTCTCACTTCTGATGGTACAGCAAACAGTTTGGACCTCAAAGTTCACAAGCCACGACGTACTAAAGCTTACCAACATTCGAACAAAAAACTTTACATCTGTCAAGTACGACAATGTGTTATTTTTGGCGTGATGACTCACGATTGGATTGGTATTGCAGCTCAAAGGAATATAATAAATGCTAATATTTTGTTCATTTCGTTGTTTGGTTGCCCTCCAAAACAAATTTGGCACGCGAAGTCAAAATTGATGCAAGGCCTTAATCCTCTCTAATACACTCTCTCCAGAATTGTCAGAATTTTGGTTAAAAAAAATTGTACCCCCGGGCTAGGTCCAAACCCCTTGTTTGCCTTCTCGGTGGTAATACAGGCCCCGATAGCATCTGTCTGTCTCCAGAAGTCTTAGCCCTGCAACCCTTAGGGCTGGTATTAGGCAGATACACAGGCCGGCTTTCAGGAAACCTACAAGTGCGATTTCTTAGACCTGGACTAAGGAATAGACGCTCCAATGCAGATTGAATGTTTTGGGTGTTCACTCAAAGGGTCAAAGATGTTACTAAATAAACCACTAAAGATTTGGTAATTCGAAATATACAGCTGTTGGAATGGAAGGAGAGACTGTGCCGGTACACCCCCCCCCCCCCCCCCCCCCAAAAGAGGAAACTTAGAGTAGTAGGTAATATGACCTATGGCACGCACTGTAGCTGGGTTCGGTCGATGAAATGAAATCTTGGCCCTAGTCAGCTTTGCGATATTAGGAAAAGCTGGTCCGTTGGGGATGGGGTCTCAAACACAATCTGGTTGATCAGGCTCCGGTGCCCTGTGTAAAGGGAAATCTAGAATGTCAGTCTTTGGGGACGTTCTGCCTCGTAACTCCACAGTCGAAATTTATACCCGGAAAAAATCACCGGGGCAGCTGATTCTCCAAAATCCAATCACAGGTCTTACCGGATTACAGTCAAGCAGTGACTTCCGAGCGGGATACATTTCATCCATCTGACAAAATTTTAAGACATTCCAGTTTAAAAAAAAAACATCATCATTGGAGCAATTCTCAAGATTTTTTTTTTTCACACCTCAAGAGACTTCAAGCAGTTCTTTGAAATCTGCAATCTAAACACGATTAATGTTTGTTTAAGGGATACATTATTTGATTGGAAAATTAATCAGATAATGAACGAGCAGATCAGCTTACTGACAAATTTAGGGAACAGCAGTGACACTTGGCTCAATCTGCTGATCAGAAAATTTTGCTTAGTGTATTTTTGGCCAAGTAAAAAAAGAAAATAGTTTTTTTGTGCAGGTATTTTTTTTTGAACGAGGGGCCCTTTTTTGGTCCATTTTTTTTCCCGAGACGGTGGATTTTCCAAGATGAATTCCTCCATTTTCTCGATTCTTTTGCTGTTACGTTTGTGTCCAAAGGAGCTGTCACCCTTTCTACTATATTTTGAACTTGCAAACAATGTACATAACTACAATTTTGCTAGAAACATATAAAAAGACAATTATCGTACATGTATTATGAAAAAAATTAAACACAGGGGAAAAAGGGGGAGGCGGGGATGAGACACTGGTTTATTTTTTTCTTGGCCTTATTGCTTGAAATCCCAGAAGCAGGTGAGAGTCAGTCATGAGCACCATTTGACATTTGTGGCTAGGAATTTGTTTTTGCGACAAAAAAAATTGTCTTTGCTGAGCAAAGTCATGCGATCAACATTTCCACGTCTCAACAGACTGGGATATTTTGACAAAGAGTCTATAACAGATACCCCGGTAGTTCCTGAGTTCTTTTTGTTTTTAAATACTCCAGTGTTTGTTAATTATTGGTTGCTCTTTCCATATATTGTGTGCAATTTCTTTGCTTTGATTGTTAATTCATTCACTAATTGATCGCTGAACTGAAAGTTGTAATTCCCTTGTTCATTTTTTCCTTAATTCTGGCAAGGATTTGGTCCTTTGATAGACTGTTTGTTATGCGATTAATCCATCAATCATAATCTATTAATTATTTCAATTTACAGGTGTACATGTACGTCCCACAAGATTCCGTTTTTTTGTTTATTCCAAAACCAATTTTACTATTTTCATTACAGAAAACATCCAACGAGTTCTTCGACATGGGAATCTTTGTGGCATTCTTCGTTCTGATTGCCATCATCTGTTTGCTGCTTCTCCTCAAGTTAAGATGGAGACAGAAAAGGAAACAGGTGAGAATCAAACAAAATCCATCAAAATCTACCACAGTATACCAAAACCCACCAACATCCATCAAAATCAACCAAAAGCTGTGATGGATTCAGGACTGTACAGCAAAACCATCTTGATTTTTACCCTGGGATTTGATGTCCTAATTTGTTTTATTGGATGCAAACAAAGTGCTGTTGGTCTAATGCACAGTGTTTGATTCTAAAGGATTTAAGAAACTTGAAAATGCCGGGGAAGGGAGTTAGGATGATCGACAAACATGATACATGTAGGCACAGATGATTTGGAGGAAGGAGTGCGTTTATCAGTACGTTTATCAATAGGTCAATAGGTAAATCAGTACGTTTATACCAACTTAAAACCCCCTCCTAATATAAAAATGTCGAATGTTTACTTGAAAAGATTTCCCAAGAATTATTGAAACTAAACAAAAGTTTTGACGATGTTTAAGAAACTCATCCCCACTCCAAATTCTGAACATATTCCAGCTTAAACCATATCGTAATAAGAAGAGGATTCAGACAATGGAGGAGATTGTATAAAAATTATATTTAAAACTCAGGTTTTTCCCTTCCATTTTTTCCTGATCTGGTTGCAGACTTCACAGGTTCGTATGGCAATGGACGCGCTATCAAAGATGGAGGTACGCAAATACAAACACTATTCCGACCACCACCAGTTACGTAAGTCATCGCAGGATGAGCGTTACACGGAGCTCCACCAGATCCGTAAGTCCTCTCAGGACGATAGATGGGCTGCCACCACGCTGAGTATAGCATCGGAGGGGATCATCTGTGCGATTTGTCTGGAGGAGTTCCATGACGGCGAGGTGAGTCATCGTTGCGGTCATAAAAATACACTCTGGCTGATTCTTTTTTACTCAAATGGAAAGTCTTTCTTCTGTGATTGTACATTTGTAATTCGTGATGATTTGTTTTTCGAACCCTAACAGTCCTGAATCCTCCAATTTTAATACGATTTTGCACACCCCTAGGGAGTTAGGGTTAACTTAACGATATTATTGATCAGTCATTGAGTTCCATGTTCATTACCACGTTTCACAGTCATACATGTAATGCCATAAAAAGAAGTTTCACAGCAAGTCTATGATAGCTACCGGTAATATGTTTAATGCGAACATTTTATGAGAATTACACAACTCGAAAGTGTATAATCTCACAATACCATGAAAGTTTTTGGACTTGACATATCATTTAGTAAAAGATGGTTTCAGACTGTAGGGCGATTCACAATGTGTAAAGCCTAGTTTCGATATTGAGGTAAGAAATGCAGAGAGCAACGCAAACAAGATCCACACTGCAACGCAGACTCTTGGAAACCTTTCATCCGCAAATGTCGCCGACAACCCAGACAGACGCAAACTATCTCGCAGACGATCGGCAAAGTTGAACCCAGCTGACAGATCCGCGCAAGGTCTGCGCAGTCTGCATAAGCTTAACGTCGATATGGAAACGAGGCATAAGCCTAAAAATTGGCGTGCCTCTTGATATTTTCCGCTACAGGCTTCATACATGTACATATTTATGCAAATCAAATTGAAACTAGCAAAAGGTTGTTGTGGGATGTATCAGGGTTGGTGCTGTGGGATGTGTCAGGGATGTTTTGGAATGTGCCAGGAATATTGTTGTGAGATTGATCAGAGATGCTGTGGTATGTGTCGGGGATGCTGTTGTGGGTTGTGTCGGAGATGTTTTTATGGGAGGTGTAGAGGATGTTGTTGCGGGATGTGTCGTGGTTCGTTGAGAGGTCATGTGTGTTGTGCAGGGTTGGCCGGCGCAGATGGAACATCCATCAGTGGTAATCATTCATGTGGAGTCAAGCCTCATGTATGTCTCGGGGTCCGTGTTCAGGGTGAATTCCAAAAGCCATTGGAGCCATGCACTACTTTGCCACATTAAAATTTACACCCAATCCAAAACACATTGTAAATGAACCATACATCATTTTTTTTTAATTTGCTGCAAGTGATATGGTCTCAACGTTGTTTGTTGAAATTTAGCAGAAACCATTTATGTTAGTCTCTGATAAGGCCAAAAAAAAAAAAATCGGTCTCTGGTCAGACCGAAGTTACGGAATTGATGCGGGGGCGCGGGGTTTGTTTTTTTGGGGTGGCTTTTTAAAAAATTTCAAGCTTGAATTGTACAGACAAGGTGGGTACTATTTTGGTTTTTGTATCCTCATTATACATTGGTGTCCTCCATAATTTGCCTTGGTGCCCTTTATCATTTGCCTTAGTGCAATTTCCCCATTCCGTGGTGGTCCTTGGCACAAAAATTTGAGGAGGTGCGGCAAAAGAGGGCGCTTTGAAGCTTCCGTGTTAATTTGAAGAAAAACAAAAGGTTGACGCGCATGAATAAAAGCGACGCGCGCACTGACCAGAGACCGAGTTTTTTTTTTTTTTTGGCCTAAAAAAGGAAGTATTTTAAATATTCGACACTGGTCTGTTGTTGACAGTGGTACATGTATGTGCTTGCCTTGTATAATCCATAAATAAAACTGGCATCTATTATTTTTTATATTTGGCATGTTTTTGAAAATAGTTTGCATTTCACCGCAGAACTGTTTGCCAGCAAAATGTATTGTCATATTACCCGGTACATAGATTTTCTTGGCTTGTCTCCCGGGTTGTCTCCCGGGTTCTGGATGACTAAAGCTTGTAGATGAGAGATATTTATAGAAGCAAACCAGAACGAAGCGTTAGATTAAGTCTCACTAATGCGAATAACAGACCAGTAAAAGTACAAGGTGCAATGCAACAAAAATTTGAGGTGTAAGCCAAAACGGGCCCATTCATGACTGAGGGATTAAACATGGATTAACTTGGATTAAAGGTGGATTAAGTTGGATTACAGATAACCTTGACCACAGTGATAGATCTGGCTAGTGTTGCAATTTTCATCTGAGTGGATTGTGGATAATTGCTCAGTGGTAATCCATTGCCAAGTTCAATCATATTCCACCTTTGGACTCGTTGAAAGCCGATCCTTATTAATCACCATTGTAATATGATTCAGATCAGCCTTCTTAAGAAGACATAATGATTTAAAATCAAGTGTTTTTTTTTTTAGCAGATTATCTTGTAAAATCTTGTTACCTCAAGTGTGATAAATCATTGCATTGTGTACAATGTGTCTGCAAACCTTCTCCATTGTGCAAATCATCTAATCTGACTTCACTGTATTTCTCTATAATTTTTTTGTTTTTGTATCGTTTTGTAAGAGTGATAACCATGTCACTTTTAAATCTGAAAATTGTGTACTAACAATATGGTTTGAAAGACGAAAAGTACTACCGGTAGTTAACACTGACTTTGGAGGAAAAGTACATTGTATTACAGTATACAAATATACATGGTTTGAGGGTGGACAGCCGATATTCGCTCCCCGAGGTATTGGAAGTTGACAAACTTGTTCCCGAGGCGAAGCCGAGGGAACTAGTGTGTCAACTTCCAATACCGAGGGGAGCTAATATCGGCTGTCCACCCGAAATAAATCATGTTATATTTGTTTTACTATACCTCATACATATTCAGCACCGTTTTTTTTTTTCGTTGCAGTATGCACCTCAAACAATTTTTTTTAAAAACATGTCCAGTTCACCAAAAGAATCGCATTGCTCAACTTCACTAGTTCAGTTCGTTTACAATACAGTCCAGCTGTAAATACAGTAGTTTGTGTACAACATTCTTTTGTACAGGAGGTATCTTTATTGTCCATAAATATTCTCTAGTTCGGCATCATTGAGCTAACGCGCCGTGCAACCATCCTTTCGTGTGTAGCTCGTTTGGGCGATGTTCGCGCGTGCGTACTACACCCGTACAGTTCCACGATTGCTTTGTAAAGCGCATGCGTGGTAGACTGTCGCACGGGTCGCACGGGTAACCCGTGCGACAGTCTACTACGCATGCGTATTTACCCTGTGCGCGAATCCTCGTGCGCGCGCGCTTTGTAAATAGCAAAAATAACATCTGGCACGTGATGGTGAATTGACCAGTGAGAGTTCGACTCTCGATCATGAATATGTATGAGGTACATGTATAGTAATTATCGGTATTACTCATTGATGGACAGAACGTCAGTCAAATGAATTGATACCTAGGTTTTTGTTATTAAAGCTACATTTGTTACGTTTGATCTTGAGTTAAAACTTACTGTTTCATGTGAAGATGAGATTTTAAGGTCTCCTGTTTTGATTTTTCTCCATAGGAATTGAGAGTGGTACCCTGTTCACATGAATTCCATCGCCACTGTGTGGATCCATGGCTCCTGTCTAACCGAACCTGCCCTCTATGCATGTATAATATTATTGGTAAGCATCTGTAAATTGGCTCTGTGTTTTCTAGACAATACAGGGTGAGTCAAAAAAAGGAAACCCAAATGGCGGGACCAATTTTTTAATACAGTTCTGCATTTAGCACTATCAAAATCTAGGATATGAAAGCCCCAGTAATAAGCTTTCTTTTAGTACAAGTTACGGAATTTTCAAGTTACAGAATTTTAAATGAAACCACTGTTTTAAAGTTCTGTCCACAAATCACAAAAAGGTAAGTGTTCTTTCAGCAAAATGAAAACGATTCACACACATCCCTATGTGAATTGTTTTTGTTTGCTGAAAGAACACACAACATTTTGTGATCCGTGGACAGAACTTTAAAACGGTGTTTGTGTTCAAAATTCCGTAACTTGAAAAGTACATGAGTGATATGAATGATTCTTGTACTGAAAGAAAACTTATTAATGGGGCTTTTTATAGATTTTGAATGTGCTACATGCAGAACTTCATTAAAAAAATGGCCCTGACATTTTGGATTCTTTTTTTTACTCGCCCTGTATTGCAGATTTTGTCGCTAATAATGTTGGATTTTTGTTTGATTTCTACTCCCATATATGCATACATTAACCAGGGTGTTAACACTTTTGTTAAAATGTGACCTGCTCACACATGGTTGGAAAGCCCACAACGTAAGCTTTCATTTGGTATATAGCGGAGCTCCATAGCCCCTCTCGTTCTGGAGATATGATAATTTGCATATTAATTACTTCCTTGGAGTTCAAATTACACAACTGAGAAAAAAAGCTTTGAAATACCTGGCTCTGTTGTAGATTTGGGTACGGTGCACTCAAACAATTTCCAACTTTATTCATCGAAATCAACATTTCTGTGAATGAACCCGGAATGAAACTTTAGGTATTAAGGACTTCATTCATGACAAAAAATGAAAATCACATTTTGATGAAATGTTCACCATCTCAAAGTTGAGCGGGCCATTACACGATAATGCAAAGCCCGACTTAATACTCTTTTTTGTGGAGCATGTCACAAATAAAGAGAACTTTTCAAGCATATGCAAAATTCAGTCAACAGAAAGCCAAGGACCTGATGTACAGTTTGTACATACATATAGCGAGCTAGGCGTCCTGCTCAATTCCTAACTTGTATTCACATATTGCAAACTAAAGACTTGTATCGTCAATAAAGGGTATCGGAAAAACGGTACATGTGTCATATGAATTATGACGTACCGGTAGTATGTTCAGACGGACTTGGAAAAATTGCCTCGCGACTTGACTGGACTCAGAAAACAAATTGACTTGGGACTTGACTTGACTTGTGAAAACATGACTTGTTACAACATTGGCACCAAGCCATTTTAGAAGCAAAGTTCAAGTTTAAATGTGATAGAAATGGTTAAAAAAAAAAAAATTAAAAATGACTGCATTATGTTTAAAACTGAAAGTTCTGTTTGAACTATATTTTCCCCACCTTTTTGATTGCTTGAAGCCTTGCAGATGGCTGATTGGTTAACATATTGCCTCCATGGACTTGTTTACATTTACTGATGTGTTTATCCTGTCAAATCTTGGTAAAATTCCAAGTTAGCTTTTCATAACGCATTTTTTTATTATGCCCCGATGGCGAAGCCGAAGGCTCACACTCGTTCAGCCTTGTTTTCTATTGTGATCGGGGTCTACTGAGCTCAAGTAACAGCTTGTCATGTTCCACAAATATTATTTGTCCTGTGAAAACTTTCACCCCTGTGCTTTACGGTAAAATATGTAAACAAAAACGGAAGTCTGTTATATATATTTTTTTCACACTATACATGTACCACTTCAAACCTAGATGTAACAAAACAGTTGTTGACTGTTTTGTCACGGTTGGTGAATTTTTGATACCCCAAGGGACCGATAGCACTCTTGCTGTCCGCGTTTGTGCAAAGTACCACAAAGTACACTCAAACAGTCAATTATTGATCGCTGTATAATAGCAAAAGTGCAAAGAAGTGGCAATTTCTTTTTTTATTGCGGCCTCCAAAAGTGGCATGTTCCTAATACCTTTGCCCACTTAGATTGTGCCCGTGGCGGTGTGTCTAGTGGGGCAACCTGTTCCCAGTCGTAATTAATTTTCTTTTGTGTGTGAATTGCTGTCCGGCGTCCCTGGGTACTAGAGCGTGGCTTCCTATTAGCGCAGTATCGTTCCTGTAAATGGCTATTGACGTCACAGGACACTGATTCCCTTTGCACGTTTTTTTGAGCGACAAAAGAGGCCATCATGTTTTGGGCGTGCAGTTTTCAAGCTAAACCAACTATCAGTAGAAAACTACACTTTGAATCACCAAATGGGAGGAGGACATTGTTTCTGTTTTAAAAATGCCAGTGTTTTTTCGGTGAAAGTCCTTATATTTTCTGTTTTCACAGTTAGAAAAGTGGGGGGAAAGCCATTTCACCTGTAGCTGCGTAAAAAAAAACCCCCAAATTTCTCCAAAGTATTTTATAAACCCCACAACAAGTTTAACTGTGAAGTTAACTTAATTAATTTTTTTTTTCAGAATATCAGTTCTCCACAGTATATAGAAACTAACTTGTTTGTTGCTAGAACTAAACTCTGTTTCAACTTTCAAACAGTCAACTCCATCTGTTCTGTGAAACAGTGTGTTATGGAAAAATCATTGACAAAACAAATGGGCACTAAAAATAAAAGTCTAGTGCGCTCGGCATGCTGCAAAGTTTATTTGTTTAGTTATGATAAATTTAGCAACTAAACAGTAGATTTTACAGAGAAAGTAATCTTTTCCTGATTAATGTTATCCAGTAGTCGCTAACAAAACACAATTTATATTCCAATTTCATGACCATGTGTTGAAATTGTGGGACTTTAACAAACTGTTTCTGCAGCAATTCACATCAATTTATCATGTAAACAAACATTAAGTTGCATTGGGTTAGTTATGGATTGACTGTACACAACCCATTGCAAGTATTCACTATTGACTCATAAATTGAATCAAATTTGCCTTCCTCCGTAAAACCGACAAACAGAAAAAGTTAAAGGGTTCCCATTTGTAATAATTTCACACATTTGTATCATTCTTTATTTGAAATAATTAAACAAATGAGCTTCTGCAGATCAAAACTACAAGCAACAAAATACACGATATTTATCATAACAAGTCATGAAAATAAAAGTTCATATATGCAGTGCAAAACTTCAAGCAACAACAAAAATTATACTTTTTTTTTCAACATTATATTATACTTTTTTATCCAGAAGGAAATGTTTCATTAGAGGTTCAATCTGTAGAAATTTGAAATTAGCTATGTACATGTAAGACGCTTGAATTTTTACTCCAAGTGATGTACACACTGGACTTGTCTGTATGTATGTACGAGGCTTTGCCTCGCTAGCTGCCTTGTGGGTAGGGAGCTTTGCATCCTGTTGCCCACTTTGAGGGTTAGAGGCGGCTTCACTGCCTGTACCTGTCGCCTTTTTTGCAGGCAATCAACTAGTGAACACACATGCATGTACACATGCACCTTTTGCGCTTTATAGTATAGCCGTGATTACAGTCCCATAACTGGTACGGGGGTACATGTACATCAAGTCAACGTTTCTTTACTTCATATCCCACACCCATTACATCATGGGCCTTGTGGATATACTTTGATGATTCACGATCTGGAATCCAACTTCAGAGTTGGGTTATCACAGTGGCTTGATGGAGTCCATCACAAGTCAATCACAAGGAAGAACAATGACATAGGAATATCTTTGTAACAGTCATTTGAAGAGCTTGTCATTTGAATTGAGACTGGAGGATTTGTGATTGACTTGTGATGACTTGTGATTGACTTGTGATGACTTGTGATGACTTGTGATGACTTGTGATTGACTTGTGATGACTTGTGATGACTTGTGATTGACTTGTGATGACTTGTGATTGACTTGTGATGACTTGTGATTGACTTGTGATTGACTTGTGATGACTTGTGATTGACTGTGATTGACTTTTGAGGACTTTTGATTAACTTACTGTGGGATAACAAGATAACAGCGCTGACAATAAGGACACGTATTTACCATCTGTTTCTATTTCTGTAGGTTGTGGACCAGAGCAGCCTCCACGCCCACCCTTACCTCCCCCTGCTGCCAACCCCTCCACTCCTCTCAGAGTCAGCCTACCGGGCACGCCAGCGTCTCCTGAATTCATGCCGGAGAGTTGGTCCTTTCCTCCCACCACATACAGCATCCCGTACACGGGCATGAGAACTCACTCATTTGGGCTGCGCGGCTGCCCGCGTAGACCAAACCACTGCAAGAGAAACGGCCATCACTTCCATAGGAACTCTGTTGACAGTGCTCAAGTCGGTAACGTCCATGTTTTAGGGGATTCTAGAGACCTCAGGCGCATGAGTTGCGGAGCCCGGACAGAGAATGCTGGACAGAATGTTATTATGGTCCAACGGGGTTGTGAACAGTGTGGGAATGTCTGCTCACACTGCCAGCAGCAGCTCGCCAGAAGTAAATCCCGAGCCCGTTGCCGTAGAGATGAGAGCAGGAATCTTGGCCTGACGTCATTTGAGAACCACTACATAGTGAACTTATCGCCTGTACAGAACAGAGAATTAGGGAACTATCAAGATTTATGCAGCTTAAAGTACCCAGGGAAGATTGTCGCGCATGATACGCGGCATTACTGCGGTCAGATCGTGCCTGTCCGCGTCCATCTAGAGAACCTACCGCCACCTGTCTCCGCTTCATCTAATTGCAATGCCACTGACCTCAGGGATTTATCATCAGGGAGCAGTCTTAGCCTGTCAGCTTTCCATGCTGACTGTGAGTGTAGCGATAGCACTGTCAGTAGCCACGGTAACTTTGATAGTAATCAGAGCGTTTACGGCAGCTCGTCCACATTTCGGAGCGAGCCCAGCACGTCAGACCCCTGCGCTTACGCACAACCGGGACAAGTCGAGCAGAATTTTGATTTGACGGAAGCAACGCAGCTAACGCCGACATGTGTTCATAGGATCAATCATGAAGTGAGACCAGTAAGCACGTCGGACACTGACGAAGCCAAACAAAGCAGCGACACGACGACAAGCGAAACGACCAACTTCTCTATGCAGGTGAATGTGTCCCAGAAGTCCGCAGTACCTCCAAACTCAAACGCTACACGACAAAAAAGCACCCATCAGCATTCAAAGTCTTCAAACAGAACTTCAAATAACGGAAAATGTTCTCACTTGCATAGCCACCATAAACCACATCAATCCAACAAAACAAAGGACTCCAAGAAATCCGTCGCCAAGGCTAAGCCAATATGGCCGACGCAACAACTTACCAAACGGAAATCGCCTTGCCCGTGTTGCTCAGGAAAAATAGTGTGGGAAAGTTGCGTAAGAAACTTGGAAAGTTCAGCAAAGACCACCGAGAGGTCGTCTAGGTCAACTGAAAGGTCAAGGTCACCAGAAAGGTCAAGGTCACCAGAGAGAGGGGCAAGACATAGTAGGAAACAGGGTCGGGGGTCACTGCACATGTATAGAGGTCATCTGAGGTTACCGCTACAGTCACTAGCTGCACTCAAGAATGGCCAAGGTAGGCAAACATTACATCATAATCTAAAAATAACTGTTGAGTTATTGATTTTATGACCTCAGTCATGGGGTCATCTTAATTAAGTATTTATAAACACAAAAACAGGCACTGCATTTCTCATTTTTGGTGTTCATGTGCTTGCCATATTTTGTGTAGTTATTTCATCTGGCACATTATTGGCCATGTGAATTTCACATCGAAAGGGTAGGCTGCAAAATGTGGGCCGGATAAAATATTACCATCGAAAATTGTGAGGTAATTGGCAACATTATTCTGAACACTCTAGTACGGGCGTCATTTCCTTATGGTACCCATTCTTCAAAGTAATACTTTATGCACTTTTTGTTGTTTAAAATAAATGGCAGTGATTATCTTTGTTTTGGATGATGTTTAAATTGACTCAAAAGGAAAATAAAAAAAAAAACCATTGATGCAGCACATCCTTTAACTTCCAAATTTGTAAAAAAAAAGAAAAGAATTTGCTGTGTCGAAAGGAATTTGTTTTGGACTCAAACAAATTAAGATAAACTCTACATTTGTAATTTGTCTCCATGCACTGTCAGCTTTCATAAACGCCCTTGTTGAAAATGTTCATTGCCATGGCAACAGAGGTTTTAGCTGACTGCAGGGGTGAAACGTTATCTTCACTGTGTCATTACGATAATTAATGTCTGCCCTACTCTTGTCTTGTTTTGTTAACAGGAACCGTGGTTACGATTCCAGTTCACCATGGCAACCAGCAAGTTCTGGAGGAGATTGTCTAATGCATAGAGAGCTGCCAATATTTCATTTGCCTTTCATCCCATTTGCTGCTGTCAAGCTTTTCAACTACGGAGCATCCGCCCGAGATCACGGCCCCATTTCATGGTGTTTCCAAGCAGAAAACAAGTTAGAAAATGCTGTTCAGCAAAATTATTACCGGAAACAAGTAATTATACAACAAGCGTACACATTGCATAACCTTTTGACTTGAATTATCAAACAATCAAATTCTTTATCTTTCTATTTTACAACTTGCAACGTTACATCCAAAACTATCGGACTATGTGTGAAACCATAGGACACAACGTCACAAATTTCAAAATAGTCAGTTCAAGAATGGGATTTGATGTTTAATCTACAATCACTGGGTGAAGGATAAACAGTATCAACCTTTGGCGTGTTGTTTTTGCAAACAGATTCTTTTTGTGCCTAGTAAATCCTTTAAATTGTTCCCAGATTTGCACGAGACACATTGCTCACATCAATGCCTTGCATGTGTCATTTGTTATACGGATAAAAATTCTGAGTACTTTGCCTTTGTAAAATACAAGCTCTTTAGAAGTACATGTGTCTCAAGTGATTCAACCTTCGCTTGATGCTGACTTTCCCCAAGCAATGTTGTACCGGTAGTCACATCCATTACAAATACATGTAAACCACTAGTCCATTCAGAGGTCCAGTCACAGATAACAGTGGGTGGACAATAACAAAGGAATGCCTCCCAGTATATTTCAATAGCTCATGAGTTGAAATGGGAGTGGAGGACTTGTGACGGACCTGTGATGGACTTGTGATGGACTTGTGATGACTTGCAGGGACTTGTGATGGACTTGGCTATATCACTGTTCCCGAGGGGACGGGCTCATGGAGCTGCTGGGGGCCGATTTTATGAAACGCTGAGGGTAACTAGAAAGGGTAACTTGTCTTAATTGCGACTCGTCCTAGGATCGATTTCACCAAAATTAAGACCCCTTCAACACGTCCTAACTTCCTTTATAGCAATGCAGCTGAACTCGTCTTAACTTAAGATCAGTCTGATGGTCATCTTATCTCATTAATGCGTGTGTTAATTTGTATGTCATCTGGAAATTATCATTTCTGTTAAAGACGAGTGTCGGCCTAGAGTTATAGTTCAAGGAGGAAAACCGCTGTAGAAACAGATTTAAAAAGATTTCTGATACCCGGGAAGTTTTAATAAATACAGCTTATTTACAACATACGATTATATGCCAAAACCCAGTCGACTCTTTAAAATGGCGTGATGAAACGGGGAGCAAGAATGACTCTATCGTATCTTGTGTAAAACTTCCTTGCGTGTGAAATTGATTGAGTAGAGTAATTTTTCTGGCAGAGTTCGTGTTCTATGCAATCGCGCGGGAAGTTGGTTTTGCGCATTTCTTTTCAACGACTGTTTCGTCAAGCGGTAAAAACAAACATGAAATGGCCATCAAATTGGTAGTTGTGATTTGTCTGACTTAAGATGGGTTAAGTGAAATTAGTCTTAGGACGCGTCTTAGCTAAGATCGATCTTAGAGCAGGGACTCGTCTTATTACTCCCAAGATGAGTTGCAAGATAGATGAGTTTCGTGAAATCGGCCCCTGATCACAGAAATGTGCCAAGCCAATATTTGCTTAGCAGATCCAGATTACCAGCTAAAGTGTCACGCATTCCCTATGTTGATTGTGACTGGTACACGGATTAATTTTCTACAGCACACAACTTTGCTTAGCAGAAAACTGTCCTTGCCAAGCCATCTCACAAAATTAACGTAGCTGGGTACTCATGAGCATAAATACAGCAACATGTATTTGACCGAGTACTTGTCATAATTTGTATATTCGCAAGTACCCCCTTAACTGTTGCAAAGAGAGAGTTGGGAAAGACCACTTACATCACAATGGAAGAGACAAGTTATGTATGCGCGAAGGCACTATAGGTTTGTGTAACTTTTAATAAATATTCTACGTACCTGTACTTTACGCCATTTGCTTGGAATCCATGTTTTTGTGTGCGTGCACACGGTGTGTTCCTTCCGAAGAGCTCTCCTAAGCGATCAAAGAGTATCATATGCACAAGTTCTTGAGTACAAGAACACTGCTTTTTGCATTGTGGGATTATTCTCAAAGGCATTTTGGAAAGTACACGTCACAAAAGCAGATCTTTTTCCAATGTCAAGCTGGCATAAAATCCCATTTTTATTCAATAAGAACTCTGTGCGTTGCCAGTTGCTGGCTCTCTTTATTTCAGTTTCGTTCATGAACTGGGCATTTGAATTCATCCAGATATTTTGCCATCAACTTGCATTAGATCAGTGAATGTTTGTTGTTTTGAATAGTAAATTATGTCAGTAACTTATATTAAGGTACTCTATCAGGTGACTGTTGTCATGTGACAGCTGTGACTATTTCCTGAAATTCTCCTGTAAATCTATGCGAATAAATTATTTATAGTGCATTTCGCTGGCCCTATGTGCCAAAAGTACACTTAAAAATCAATCGTTTTTTATATTGATTCAACTGAAGTATATAATCGCTATTTGATTGTACTGTACTCATTTAAACAAAAAATATATATATTGCATTTATTTTTTATGCATATTTTATATAGTACTTTACTATTTAAACAATATTGCTTGAGGCATTAATCGTAACTAGTGTAATGGTATAAAGTCGGAATCAGTGTTTAGTGTCAGACATATTTATTTGTGGAGTAAACGAACCAACAATCAAACAATGCCATGGTGACAACACAATTTGTATTCCCTCAGTCACTTCCAAACTAACTTGCAAACATGCAGTTTCTATTTCACAGTTTTTAAAACTAAGGAGAATTATACATCCCTCTCCAGGAAAATTGTAAATGTCAAATGTTATGTCATCCGCAAATATAGTTCAGTGAAAGTCAAAATTCATATCAACAAAATTTGATTCAAAATTGTATACATGTATCTACAATCTTTATTGAAGTGTCTCTTTCAAAATTGTGTTGCTTTTTTTACATGCCAGTTTTGAATACTCATGTATAAATTTAGATGTCTCACAGAGGTCGGTAAAATTCTTACTGTTTAATCTTTCAAATGCCAGTTTTAAATTTGTGTGGTGTACTATTTGACTGCATAGAGGGAAACATGATATAAACAGGGTATGTACATGTATCTGTGTCGTTGGATTTAAGCTACAGGGTATCCTACTCAACTACGTGTATTAATTGCAGATCAGTGTCGACCATAATTATCATGTATTTGATGTCCTTGTGTCATATACAAATTTATGCTTCATATACTTTTAAGAGATCCATTTTATTTACAATATTGTCTGAAGGGTGAAGTAAACATAGCAAAAACAAGATGGCCGCAGGACTAACTTATATTTCATTCATTATATACACATGTAGGTATTGCACTTCCAACCTCACAGAACACAAGGCCATCATTTTCCTAGAATTTTTCTAGAATGTGAAGTGTATCAACTGTGGTATTGGTGAAGTTTATAAACTTTTAAACAAAGGGCATTCGGTTTTTTCATAGCACAAGCATTCTGTATAATCGTGTATTTTTAACCCAACTGTAACAATTAGAACTTTTTAAACAGCATTTTGTAAATCCTTATACAAGTATTTTCTACATTTTGTCATTTTACAATCACTGTTATATTTTTTTCCCAAATTGTTGGTCAGTCTTTATAACTCTTTGTTTGTTTCATTGTCAATGCCTTGATTTTGTTGTTTTAAAAGAGTAAGACATGTTGAATTTGTTAAGCAAGGCCTATATATTCCCATAAACCCACTCCAAATTCTCTCTCTGACTAGTCTTTAGACAAGGCCATTGTAAATTTTGATATTTGACTAAGCTGCCCAGCCATAAAGCAGAATGAATGAAGACTACATGTGCACTGTAAAATGAGGTTTGTCCCAAGCCAACGTGTCTCATCAGGACAGTATTTATCTCCATGGGCCAAATTCATGGCACTGCTTAATAGTTAGCAGAAAAATTGTGCTTACTATAGCAGAAAATTGTGTTAACCTTAAGCACTTTTTCATGGTATGGATGTGCTAACGGTTGCATATGCAGGAAGAATTTTATTGTTACGTCACTGATTTAAGCAACTGTTTTTAGCATGCTTTGCTGTGCTTACTGTTTATGGTCTCCATGAAATAGACGGAGGCTCTGTTAGCAGAAAATTGTGTACCTAGTAGTGCCATGAAATCGGTCCTAGTTTCCTTGGCAATTAACTGAGAATATTTCTATTCCCCCTGGATGGGATGCCAGTCCGTTACTCCCTAGCTAATGCCCGAACCCATTTACTTAACTTAAGCATTCAATTTATTATTTTTTAAATTGGTAGGTGCCAGCCTGTGTGGTAAATACATTTTAAAGTTAAGTTTAATTTATCCATTGAAGTGGGGGTGAAAAACTAGTTTCAAAATAACTGTTACTTTGTCAACCATAGTTTTTCAAATACCTGTTTACTGTCTCTGTTTTTCTTTCTATTTCTTGGTCACATGGTTAGAGCATAAACAGTTCTACACAGTTCACATTATGACATTCGTCACTGTAAAATTCAAAACAGACTTTTTAAAAACAAGAGAGACTTTACAATTTCATATGAAAAATTATAATTAAAAAAAAAATGTATAAGTGACTGAATGGTGTCAAGTATATGAGAAGCTAGGTCGAAGTTAACTTTTAGACCAGCAGTTTTTCATCTCTGAACAGAGATTTGTAACTGAATTTAAATCAACTTTGAAATGTGTATCTTTCTGTAATTCGTTCGGGTATATGAATGGTATTTGTCAACTTTTAAAATCGTATTGCTGTCGCTCAATTTGAAATGAAATTGTACTTTAACCGTTAATTGTATGATATGGGTGCTGTATTTATGGATATGTCAATTTATGTATAATTAAATGAAGAATAGTAACAATTTTTATGTTTTAATGTGATTTCAAATAAATTGAAGGAAAGAAAATTGGAAATGAGTTTGTTTTTTTGTGTGCTTGTGACACAATGAACCACACCAAGTGTCTAAAATATCTGAACCACACACAAATTCAGACATTTTGATTGATGGTCTATAGTCACCGGTGTGCATTGCTTCAAGCAAATGCAAAATGTGGAAGACTTCATTTGAAACGATTTGAAATCGATGAATGTAATTTTGTGTTATTGACTAAAACTATGAGCCAAGCAAATTTATGAGAAAAATTGTGATGGGAAAATTACCAATTTGTTTTCAGATAAATGTTTACATCTGTAAAGTGCTGAAAGATATCACAGATGACTTTTGGTGCAGGTATCGAACGAAATAACGATTAATGATAGCGTGGGGTTTAGGCGCAGAATATAATGATGTGTTATTTCACTTATTTGCTTCAGCCCCGCCCCCCACCCCGGCCCATCCATGTCGAAAGAGGGCGCTTTATTCCAATTGCGGTGAGCTGACTAGTTTGGCTCGTCAATCGGCACCAGTCTCAACCGGTGCGTTCGACATGTGCTTTGCATATCTCAAGCCAAAGTCTGAAACCCAGTCTTATTCAGAAATAAGGATTTCTTTAGTCTTAATTTCGGAGGTACGTTTGCCTACGAAGTACAACTTACAAGCCATTTCTTCATCATCATTACCCTTTTTTTTTGTAAGTGTTAATGCCTTTTGTTTAATTGAAGTTTCGAGAGTTATTATATAGGTAATCCTTACTTTTAGGACACCTCTATTTTGTACGAGTTCTGTTCAAAACTGACTTTTGCAAATGACTGTCCAGTACCAAAGTGACATTTGCAGGCTAAAGAAGTATTTTTTCTTCAGACAAACTCATGTTAGTTGTAATTTTGAAAGCACTTTCAAAGAAAATGTGACTTTCCTACCTTTTTTTGCAGTTCGCCATCTTGCTTTTTAAATTTATTTTCTGTTTGTCATCGTCGTCTTTAACCCCTCGTAAATCAAAACCCTGCCCTCTTTCTACAAAATCAAACCTGCTGATATTCAAGAGGTGTCATTGCCAAATGTTCAAATGTGTCAATAAATATCAGAATGTCACTTTTGAGTGTCATTTAGTCAGCTGTTTTGGTGAGTCTTTTAACCTTATATAGGAAAGGGGTCCTAAAAGTAAGGATTACCATTATATAGACTTTCTTTCATTGGAAAGTGGGAAGAAAATTGCTACGTAATTTGTAGATGTTAGTTAGGCCTGCTTTGCAACTCAACGTTTCGTATGCGCATCTTAATTCTTATCTCGTGATCTGATCTAAAGTTTCAATTCTTTGGGCTTTCTTACACTTCTAATTTTTACGGGACCTTCTTACGGTTTAGTTCTTGGAGTGTTTTCATCATTCCAAAATGACTTTGCTACCATAAGCAGAATTATAACACAAATCACTATCAGATTCAGTAGGCCTATTGTTTGGTAATGGTAGACTAGAAAATAGAAACGTGATTTTCTTGTAGTCTGAGTCCGAGTAACTACACTGAACTAGGACTGTACGATTTTTAATCGCCTTTTTTAACATTTGGACATGGTCGGGCGATAGTAGAGTCGGAGATTCATAGCCTTTACTATCGCACGACCAACCCCTAGAACTATGGGTATTACTCGTAATACCCATAGTTCTAGGGGTACGCCCGCGCCCGACCATGTCCAAATGTTAAAAAAGGCGATTCGTAGAGTCCTAGTTACTCGGACTAGACTAGTTTTCTGTATAAATTAATAACTAATTTAGTCTGGCTGTATATAGCCTCCCCCCCCCCCCCCCCCACCAAAAAAAAGAGTAAAATATAAAAAACTGTCAGTTCATAAGTTTTCATTTTCTGTGTATTTAGTTTTTTGTGTAACTGTAAATAAGTATTGTAAATTGTAAAAGTTTGGTAATGCCAATAACTACTAGAAGCTGGGGTTTCCCAAGACCAAGAAAATGCATGTCAGCATGTATTGGACTTGATCTGAACTTGATCAGACGTCTATAAAAGGCCCATGTTTACTACATGTATTCCCTTCCCCACTCACAAAGTGGAGATAACTTTTGATTTTTGATTCACTTACAGGCTGTTTTGTCATAACAACAATGGCAAGTTTCAGGTTTGACATGTTTGATGACATTCCAACAAAGTTTGGTCCTGACAGCGTACTGAGACATCCAAGTCCGAGAGTCCCCCATGTTGTGCTGGATCATGAATTCATCGGCGATAAACAAGTTTTTGTGATCGGAGATGTGCATGGCTGCTTTGACGAACTCCAAGAGCTTTTGCAAAAGGTGGAAATCGGCACTGGCAACTCTAACATCATCACAATATTTGTCGGGGATCTTATCAACAAGGGGCCAAAGAACAGGGAAGTACTGGCCTTGGTGCGTCGCTTGGGAGCCTACTCTGTGCGTGGGAACCACGACCAGAAATGTCTTGCACAGATGGCATTGTTGCGGGAAGGCAAAACCGTTTCGAGGAAATATCAATGGTTAAGGATCCTAACTGATGAAGATTACAGACAACTGATGGAGCTCCCATATTCGATCAGTTTACCGTCGCTACAGTCAATAGTGGTGCACGCTTGTCTGGTACCCGGAATCCCCATCACTTCTCAAGACCCAGTTCATCTGATGATTATGCGGAACCTTGTCAAACAGAATTTTCGAACTGAAGGCACAAGTACCGGTCGGGATACACAACCGCTCTATAGACCGTCACAGTCGCCAACGGCGGGTGAACCGTGGGCCAGTCTGTGGCCGGGACCAGACCACGTGTATTTCGGTCACGACGCAGTGAGGGGATTACAGCGGTATGAATACGCAACGGGCTTGGATACCGGTTGCGTCTACGGCAGGCGATTGACCGGTGCGTTCCTGACGGGAGAGAAACAAATTGTGCAGTTTCATGCCAAGAAAACGTACTGTGAACCGGACGGCCCACTCATAGCTGATTGAAACCGGCACTATACTACCAGCATTCCAAGACTAGCAGTCCAAGACTTTCTTATACCAGGCTAACATAATCGCTAGATTTTTTTCAGTGTTGAAAACAAGTCCTTTTCTGAGTCTCCAAATTTTCTGAAATATAATATAAGTTTGGAAAAAAAGGAATCCTGTCTGACGCTGAGGCTGTGCTGAATGAAAACTTTGAATGAGTAGGAATGTTATAGACTTTTGGACACACAAGTAGCTGGACAGACAGTCATGAAGGAAGTATTTGTGAAAGGACTAGGACTTCAGTCCGATTTTTTTTTCAAATTCTGGGGACTTTTTAACAAACCTTTTTGTTGAAATGCTTGAATTATCCTGCCTGCTGTCAGAAGCCCAGATACTCGGACTACAGCAAGATATATTTGAGTAAGCTTGTTGGACGCAGAACAGGAGTACATTGTAAATTATGACACTCCTGTTACATGTAGTAAAAGGGAAGATACAACATCTTACTGGATTGTGAGAGAATGACAGTCAAAAGCATCCTGTAAAATTGTGGCTCCTGGTGTTATGACATTTTCAAAAATATTGTATTTTTCCAATGCTGGTCGGCCGACCAGCATTGGAGAAAACTGACTTTTTTCAAAAAGTGCTCCTAGTTTTTCATATTAAGTTATTCCGCATTTTCTTAGCAACTGATTACACACCTGATGAAGGGGTACAAGCCTTCTAGACTGATTTGATTCTCTGACCTTGCAATCCTCCAAAGTCTATAAATTGCTCCGTTTCATCTTACGTGGGGTCAGGGAACCAGACTACAAAAACATGGTTGGTTTTCTTGGATTTTCCAGCATCTCCGAACCGAAAATGTGAAGCAAGTCAGTTTAACAATATTTGCTATAACATACTAATCCTCCAAATCCATTTATTTCTGAAATTGCAGCAAAAGCAAATGTTGTACATTCCCTTTAATGTAACTCAAACAGTGACCGCATTGGATTTGATAAAAGTACAATGTAATGACAAGAATGTGATATTGCGTGCATATGACTGCCTTGGTCAAAGACAAACTACTGCGCTTTTGGTAATACATGTATACTTAGATCTTTTTTGATGCAGTTTAGGCAAGTTTTCTTAATTGCCAAAAAAAAAAGTGTGTAAAATCACGAATTGTTAGGACAAAGGATTTTGCAAAACGAAGTAGTCTTGAAATTGTATACAGTGTTGAAACATTGGTGAAGGGCAAAACCGAGTTTGATTTATATGACTCCGACGCAAAATTCCATCTTATAATAGATACTGTTTTTAGCTTAACATCTCAGTGAAGAGAGTTTTCTGGCAATTGTTTGACTTTTTCTCATAAAAATTGCGGTTCTTTCTAAGTCATTTTGTACCCCAGTTAACCTTGGTTTAGATCAAAATTAATTATGCAATGTAGTAGAAATCAGTGAACCATTGCAGTTGTAGGAATTCACGAGTTATCCTTACAACTGCAGTCTACCTTAGATTAAAATACTGTGATGTAACTGTAGACATATACATTGATTGTTTTCTTATTTGAAGATTTACGGCTGACAAGCCACATAAAAGAGTCTTGTGTACATAGCAAAACATCGTTACATGTATATTATATTACGAAATATGAAATAAAATTATTACAATTTTTTAATATGAATAATAACTTAAATTGAATAATAAATTTACCAGTATAGCAATAAATAACCAGTACTATTGAAAAAAAACGACAATCTAAAGTCTACATTGTAGGTCATTAGTTTCTTTCACTTTCTGTGATGTGTCGGATGGATTGTCTCTGTGTTAATGGGTGAGATGCTATTTCAAAGTGCATTTTCGTTTTATGACTTCCAACTTGACGTTTGCTCTTTTGTAATTTTGCCTTTTGGCAGCTGATGTTTATTCTACTTTTTGTTGGTCCAAGAAAAGCCAGCCGAGGGTCCTCGTACCTATGTCACTCACTGTCAATTCTGAATTTGAATGATTGAAGGCTGACGAGGCTCGGGCAGTGCTATTGTATAGGATTACCCCATAACCCTAATGAATGGACTTCCAGTAAAAAGCTTATCTGAATCAATTGAATAGAATATTATTTTGTTTCAGAAAGTGAGCCTTTTTTATTGAGGACATTCTGATTATTTTACTTAATCCAATTGAAATTGAGTATATCGTGGCTGATTTCATATAACGTACTCCAATAACAGCATGTCAAATTTCAAAGGCGAGTCAAATGTTAATCTTAGCTACAATATGGGGGGGGGGGGCGGGGTTGTGTTCATACGTAAATAAATTAATGTTTCCCAGGTATACGGCATATATTAGGAGATAGGTCTTAGAAGTGCACCCGCCCCCCCCAAAAAAAGAAGTTAGTGAATGTATGCCTTTGAACCTATACAAAGATTGATAGTAGACATGGAATTTGACAGTTGGATTCTGATTATGGAAGGCGATCAGTAGTCCGGATCATAGGTGTATTGACAGATTTTTAAAACCTACATGAATACTACATCCCTTGTCAAAATGGCCACGCCCCTTTTAGGCATCGCTTGTGCCCAACCCGAGAGGGCGCCCTTGCTATTGGTGATTGTAAACAACATGGCGGCAGATTACATGCGACAGAAATTGACTTCGTTTTCGGAGGCAATTTTCCCCGGTAGACCTTTACGAGACAACCGTCAGCATCATGCCATAAGACCGGGTAAGTATATATTTAGATATTTTACATTCAACTCTGTCTTTAACCCTTACCTACTGGCGATTTGGTCATGTTGGTGCTGTCTTAAAATAGGTGGCATGGCAGTTTTGGACCGACAAACTGCATTTTTGTGGGCACAATACAATAGGGAGATGAAAAAAAGTAAGAGGGCGCTGTTCATTCGATGACAACTGTTAATGAGGTGTTTCACGGTAATATGCACCATCTTGTTCACTGGGCAAAAAGAACATCCATTGCTAGACGCGGGCACATTTTGGAATGACCGCATGATGACTCACTTGGAAGCGCAAAAGTTTTCCATTGACGATGCGTACACAGGCACAGCAATGCGTGTAAAATTGCCCCGCGGGCAAGATGGCACATATTACTGTGAAACATCTTATTGTGATTAAAATTTTGCTTTTTACGGCGTTGTTGAACCGGCACTGCACGTACTGAACATGCGCACAAATCTTCGTTTGGTTCCGCGATTACATTGTTGTTGTGACTTCGTATTCAGGAGATGGGAATCAGACCTGTTGCAATTTCGGCCTTTTGTTTACTTCATTTTTTTTGGCAAAACCACTAAACCACTGCAACAGGTGATGAGGATTTTTGTTTTTTATTGCAAAGAATATTACTGTCAATTTGGAGCAAAACGAAAATATTTTAAATAACTCCACACATATATGAATACCATTATTTTCTTCTTTTTTTCCACCAGGGAATGAACTGGTGTCCAACTTGCCTCTACAGATGGCTCTGTACTTCAACGTATTCTTCTTTCCATTTTGGCTCATCTGTTCAGCCATACTGCTGCAACTCAAGGTAAACAAAAACATTATACATAGTTTCAATCCTTGAAGAAAATGTCACCGCAGAAATAACTCTTCAGAGAAAGTTCAAATTAACTTATTGTTGTCATATACATGTACCTCACTTGTAAACCTCAAATTTTTTCAAAAATATTTCCAAAAAACTTGTTTATCAGAGTTTTTTTAATAGTCATTTATCCCACATTCCCAATTACATTTTATAAATTCCATTAAAAACCAATGTACCAATCTGTTGTACATCTGCAGATTGGGTACGTAAACATGAAGATTTGTTGTTTGTTTTATCTTCTCAGTTTTACCACCTGGATGAGATATTTCGGTTTGTGTGTGTGACTGTCTATGTGGTGATGGGCGGCACAGAGATCATGAGACTCTATCTGGGATATCTGGGAAATCTGCAGGAACGGGTAAGACCAGACAGAGAAAATAGTGACTTCAAAGGGCCAGGTATTCAGAGGATTTTGGAGTTATAATCCTTGACCAGCACCCCTTATCTAATCTACGATCACATTAAAAGTTGCTCTCTTTACGGGCAATTCTTATATTATGTCTGTGACAGAGCCAATTAACCATGATATCTAATTAATAATTCAGAGAAATGATGCAAAGCTCCTAGTCTGTAATCTCCTGGACCATTACTGGATGATGGATGTGAAAAATAGTTTTGTGTGTTTATTCACTGAGTCTTTAAAGGTCTGTCACAAATAGACATAACGTTGGAACTTTATGTACATGTAGATGCATTTTTTTAGTTTTATTATTCATTTTTGACATTGAACCAAAAAAAATAATTAATAACTAACTTTGAATTATAGAGTAATGACTTTAAACATGTGAAATAAATGTTAAGTCCGTAAAAAGTCAGGTGGATTTTGTTTTTGTGTGTTAGAGGCCCAAAATAGAAGCCTTTTTTGGAGGGTTGCAGGCATCGCCAGAACAGAAAAAAAGGAGGGGGTTTTGGTTTAAATTACACATACAGATTATGATTAGGAGACAATAATTGAATTGGTTGATGAGTATGGTCGAGCGTCTTCATGTCTAGGGTGTGCTTAGGTCTGTCTTTACAATTTATGTTATTTATAAAAATACCTGAGAAGCAGCTAAATGTTAGTGCTCTTCACTCGCCCTCATTCCAAGGCTTAACAGCTGTCATCAGTACACCAGTCACTGACATACACATTTGTTGTTCTCCTCAGGTTCCTGAGCTAGCAGGCTTCTGGCTCCTCACTCTCATCCTTCAGTTCCCTCTCATCATCTTCCTCATCGCTGTGGAGCGAGCCATGCCGGTCCCCGTCGAACGTGCCGTCCACTTGGTCCAACTCGCCTTCATTGTCTTTGAGATCGTCTGCGGCTTTCTGGCCTTGAGAATCATGACCCAGCACCAGATCATGAAGTTTCATCTACAGGACTTTGACACCATATTTGACCTGGAGGAAGGCCATCATGAAGTCATGAGCCGGTACACGCCGTTGGCATGACGACCGCATCCAGATGGCGTTAGATTGCATTACGTGTGTACATAGTTGTTGTCGTTGTTTATGAGTACATGGGGCTCAAGAATGTAGCTTCAACCTGTATAGGGCTTAGACCAAATCATGAGTTTGTTGTGTTTGTCGTTTTCTTTGCTAGCTCAGCAGATAGTTCGCTGTACAGGGCCAACTTCAATAGTTACAAATCAAGCTGAACAAAATGTTACACAAGAAATACAAATGTTTTTAATTCTCAGTGCTTCAAGAAAAAAGGGACTTATTCAGAAAAAAAACGTTGTGATTCTGTGAGGTTTCCTCTCATTTATGGAAAACCAGTTAAACAAGGGAGTAACAAAGTAATATTTTCAACTTGGTAATCAGATGATTAGTAAATAGGAGGAAATTGCTTCCATTGCAAAAGGGGGACTGCAGAATTTAAGCCTATTTGTACAGGCAACTTTTCAAAAGCTTATATGGCAGACGGTTGATTTGAAATTGTATTACATCACTTCAATACTTTTTTCTTTCTAACTAAGTGGTTTTCACAGCTTTCCTTGTCTACTTTGGATAAATGATAACCCACAAAGATTGGAAGTACATGTAGTATTGAATTGTTGGGCCAAGAATTGGTTTGAAGATTGTGTCAATTACTTCTTGTCAACTTATAGATCCTTTGCATTCAGCCGCCATCTTTGAGGTGTGATTTATGGTAATTCATTAACAATGAATGCAAGAGGTCTACCCATGCGTATCCCTGTTGAACAAAAGCACACACCTCCAACATGGCTGCAATGCAACAGGTCTATTTCAGCCCCTCCCCCTAAAAATGCGAGGGGAGAATAGTGTCATCAATCATAAATTTGCTCCATCAGAAATTCATTGCTAGAAATAAATTCAATTGCTGTAGGTGGCTTGTCTGTAAAGTTATAAATGATGTACGATATGAATCTTAACTTACTTGGTCTGACACTGCCTAAGAGTCCAGTAATACTTACTGTACATTTCTATGAAGTAAATAATTTATTTTTATGTATATAACAGTGTTATTGTGAAGTTTCAGTACTTTGAAATAGTAAAAAATAAAATGTTTCTAAATTCAAAAGGAAAAAAAACCCACCTATTTTTCATTGCTCAAATTTTCTTGGCTGGGACAGTTGGAATGACTTTATTATGTTGTTGGTATATTTATTATTTCTCCATAAATGCATGCCCCCTGCTGGTGTCATGGATAAAGCGCAAGCAATTGTTTCCACTTTAGTTACTCTAAGCACCCCTGTTGGTAAAAAGTTTAATAGTGGCAGGCAAAATAGAAGCACATTCTTTTTTCAGTTGCATCATGGAGGTAGGAATGGCATATTGATGTGGAATGTTTGGCATTACACTTTAGTAATATACATCTTTCTTTTTTCAAACTCAAAAAAGCGATTCACGGATGTTTCTGGAAAGAAATTTAAATTTTAGTGGAAATGGGGCGCGCGCGCGCGCTCGCTGGATCATTAAGTTTTTGTCTGATCATTTTCGAGAAAAGAATTTGTTTATAGCGCCCTCTATTGTCTAAACATAATTAGTTCCGGTGTATGTCATGTATTTTGGTGCGGTTAGAGCGCGAGAACTGGCCAACTTAGCCGTATTTTTTTGACGCTTTTGGAGTGAATTAACTTGAATCATGGCAGGAAGATTGTCGACCAGACGAAGCGGAGATAGTTTGGAGAGTGAGCGTCAGAATTTCATTAAACAGCAGGTAAAGTTGAATATTTTAATGATACATGTAATCATGACAATGAGTTCATCAACTTCATTTGTGTTGCACTGTCCATAGTGCCTAAAGCTGCATTTCGCCATAGCCTTAACGTTAGGGCCCTAGCTATATTTCTATGCCTATAGGCCCTACATGTATAGTACTTTAGTAATAGTATGTATCGGGCGATCGTGTAGTGTAGGGCCCGGTTCCAGTATAAGGGAACAAAATCCACTTTAAAATTATTGGACCTACGTGACCTACCAAACTAGTTGGCGACATTCTCAATAAACAGGTATGTCATAGAGGGCAGGGTTTTGTTTTTTTGAGGGAAATTTGGGGGACAAATGACGATGACACAGTCTCTCGCTCTTAAGCACAAATACAAAAATAAATTATTGGAAAAATATTTAAGTACTTAATTGTTTTGTTTTTTTCACGGGGTTGCAGCTGCATGTTATTCCCGTATTCATGTCGGGTGTTATGTCCTTATGTGTTGTTTGTGTGTGTAACTTGTATATTTTTGTATGATTGTAACTGGGGATCTCTACTCGACAAGCATTGCTTTCTAGGGATCCCCATCCACATATTTTGTAAATATTTAACTCTCTGATTGTCTTTTTTATGTGGAAAATAAAGTGAATTGAATTGAATTGAATTGTGACAACATGCGACCCGAAAATAAAGATGGCGATCACTGCACGATGTACCATGAGCACGCACGGCGCGCTGAATCGCAAGGCACAAACCGCGCAGGAAAATTGTGATTTCTACACCAAGAATCTGTTCAAAATTGCAAAAAGAGTGTCATTAGAATTGAGAAAAGTCTGCTTTTGATTGTAAAAAGGTGATTTTTGAGTAAAAAAAAAAATGTTGACTCTAATTTTACCAAAAACAAAACAGGGGCCCTACACTTCACGATCCCCATATATTGTGCGTACAAAATGTACATGTTTATCAATATCATTCTTTAATCCTTGCTTACGAAGTAAACATTGTGCCAAGGCTGATCTGATAAAATTATTACTTACTGCAGAAAGCAAAAGTTTGGGAAATAATGTAGTAGGCCTATTCAGACGCCATTTCTGCATGTTTTGTGGTTGTGTACAAAGTCATGATTGAGAGTCAAGTTGACATGGTTGAGTGCATTTTCTAACAAAATAGGAATTGTTTCTCAGTCCCAGATTCATGTCTTTTTAACATGTTTGCAGCAGTTTGCAGTGACTGACGTTTGGCTTCATTGAGATATATGTGAAATTAAATTTTGAAGTTTGAGGAATTAAAACTTGTACTTAGTCATTGGAAAGAGCTTTAAAAATGAAATGAAATGACACATAAGGCCAAAAAAAAAAAAAAATGTTTCTCGTCCGGGTTTTTGAAAAGAAAGGAGGAAGAGGGGCTTTTTATTTTTAATTTTAATTTTTTTATTTTTTTTCAAGATGGCCACCATTTTAACATTTCCTGCAACTGTTGGTGTTTCCACTGTTCAAAGACACTTTTAAAATGAAAGACAAGAGAACTGAACATATTTACAGTGTCATTTAGAGTTGTATTGGTCTACAGATAATGAACAGTTTTAGATGCATTTGACTTTTTCGGTGTTTTTTTACAGCATTTTTCAAAAATAAAAAATAATAATAAAATCCAGGCGGCCTCCAAAAAGGAAGTGGGCGGGGACGAGAAACATGTTTTGTTTTTTTACTTTGCCTAAAGCAGCCCAGTCAGGTCAGATGAATATTAACAAAGTTATGATTTTTTTAAAGAATTAAATATTCATTTCTGCTATACATTTTAAAGAAAAACAAAGAAAACATTGTGGCCCAAAATGAAGTCTTTTAAGACAGAAACTTGTTCACATTTTGTAATACTTGGCATATTCAGTTCAAATTTCTTGTGTTGGTTTTAAAGCAGCATACACGATTGAACATTTTATCCAGTACCTTGAAATTGAAGTTAATTAAATCAAAAACCAAAGTTGTGAAAAATGACAGCAAAGCAAACCTCAAGTATTGAATTAAAATTTCTGTAGTGCTTAAAGGGAATATACATCATTTGCTTTTGCTGTAATTTTCAGAAATGGTTGGAATTGGGGGGTTGGAAATATAAAGCAAATATAGTTACACTGACTTTTTGGAGGTTTTGGGTTCGAAAATGCTATAAAAACCAAGAAAAACGATCATTTTCCTTTAGTCTGGTTCCCTGACTCCATATAAGAAGAAACAGAGCAGTTTACATACATTGGGGAATTGTAAGGTTAGGGAACCAGTCTAACTGGCTCGTACCCGTTCATAGGTTTGTAATCGATTGTAAACAAGTGCGATGGTCAATTGGGGCCAGTATTTGAAAAAAAAGCCAGTTGTTTCCAACGCTGATCGGCCGATCAGCGTTGGAAATTGATACAAAAATACCACTTTTCTTGAAAATGACAGTATACCAGGTGCCATAATTTTACAGGATGCTTTAGACTGTCATTTACCAACATCCTATTAAGGTATTTCGCAAAAACTTGGTAGTTTTATTTTTCGATGTTTGCAAATGTTGTATATTCCCTTTAAATCTCCAACTACTCTTTTACTGATTCTAGACCAACTACAGCTCAGCTTTCATTCGACGGCGAGACAGAAAGAAAAAGCTCAATTGAAAGCCGCGTTACAGTTGGTCAAGCATGTTAAAGTGCCTTCAGTTGACAGACAACGATTTCAGATTGCCGAGTAGATATTCTTGTGATCTCGGGAATTCTCCTAAATTTCACCATTTTGTGTGGCATTTCATTTTTATTTCCAGGGATTCTGAACCACCCTAGACAGTGCAACTGGCATAATATACATGTATGCCTGGCTGTCGTCCGAAAATTTGGGACCCTCAATAAGCCCATTCACTATTCCAATTGTGCAAGCGCAAAATGTGATTGCTGACGAGATTCAAGAGATAAACAAAGCAGATGAATTTATAGGCCTATACGGTACACAAGTCTATTGGGGTAACCAAATCCGCATTCTGCAATTTTTTATCTCATCAAAAGAAGATGGAAACGTTTGTTCGCAAAAAAGCTGGAGCATACAAAAATATAAACTAAAAATATCATGAAGGGAAGCTATACTTGCAAACCTCAAAAACACAAAACTACTGAATTGTTATGAAATACATGTACCTTACTGGACTGTTAGTGAATGACAGTTTAAAGCATCCTGTAAAATCATGGCACCTGGTGTGCTGACATTTTGAAGAAAAGTGGTGTTTTGTATCAATTTTGGCCAACCAGCGTTGGAAGAAAAACTGGCTTTTTTCAAATACTGCCCCCAATTTACTATATTTAGTTTGTCTGAATTTTGTTTGCAATCGATTACACACCTATGAACGGGTACAAGCCAGCTAGACCGGTTCCCTGAACTGGTACAGTTCCCCAACGTCTATAAATTGCTCCATTTCAATTTAAGTGGGGTCAGGGAAACAGACAACACATGTACATACATGTAGTACAATGTACAATGTACAATGTACAAGAACATCATGATTGTTTTTTGTTTGTTTTTTTCAAACACAAAACTTCAAACAAGTCAGTGTAACAATAGGCCTATGTGCTATAAAACACTAACCCCCAAATCCATCTATTTCTGAAAATTACAGCAAAAGCAAATGTTGTATTCCCTTTAAACCATGGTGCTGTAAAAAGAAAAGAAAAGAAAAAGCCATTTTGCACTGCACAATTGCATATAAATCAAAAGTTAAAACCCTACATAAATATTCATCAGCTGTAATATAATGCGGGCTGATGTATCAGTTTCATTTAGGAAATGAAAGGGTTTGCCCCACCTTTTGTGTTCACTGTGATGTTTTGGAAACTCCTTTTACATATACCGGTAAATGGTTTGTAACCCAACCCCAATCCCCCTCATTTCTTCCTACCGTAGGGCTGTCCGTTTTGAAATAATTTAGTATCCGATTACTCAAAACTGCATTTAACCGAATATTCAGATATTCGAAACTGGCAGCTGCAACTACGTGCTGTGCCGGTCAAAAGTTGCACAAAGACAAACATGAAAGAGTGCGCCAGTTAAAAGTTGCGTGCATCAATCCATATGGGACACATAAGTGTTTGCAGTAAGTATTTTATAAGCTGTAAAAAGGATGTGAACGATGAACTGCCTTTGACCGAAAAAGTTACCATCGACAAAAATATGGCACCTGACACTAAAGCTTCACAACTTTATGATACAATCATGTGTGTACATGTACTTGCGTATTTTTTTCCCTGAATATTCAAACTGGCAAACAGCTATTCGAATATTCGGTTGGTGATGGAATGTTCTGGTATTTTCTTCCCCACACATATTGCAGCTGTAAAACTTCTTTAACAAGATTTTTTTGTTTGCAATTTCAGACCATCAGTGTATCCAAAGCCATCAATGCTGTGGAAGCGCCAGTCAAAGTCAAACATGCCAGGAGTATCCTTTGAGTATAAGAATATGACACTTTTTGTTGTAGTTTTATTTTATCACACTGGTACTCGTTCCAGGGGTGGATTGATCAAAGAGGCATTATAATGCGGAACTAACATGTAATGGATTTTGTTCAAATGTGTCAAAGCGCTTCAAAATTATTACCCCTTTTCATCAGGCCACGAGGCAATTTTACATCAGTGCAATCAGTTCTCTTTCCTCACAGGTATTCATTCATTCTCCTGGGTGGAGAGATGCAATTGTTGTAAAGTGTCTTGCCCAAGAAGACAAGCACCTGTATATCCATTGGTGTTCAAACCCACATACATTGAACTGCTGAATCTGAATTGAATACCATAAACACTGATTCATTGCACACTATACAACAAGTACATTGTACATGTACATGTACATGTACATGTACATGTAGCCTTTCTGTTCCATGTTTTCTCTTAAAGGCACGTAGCAACATTGAGAATGACCCGGATTTTTCTTTTAAAAGGTGAATTGGTGCAAATAATGAGATACATGCACATACATTGTACAGCTGTTGGCATGTTGAAGCCTTCAGAAATGTATCCATGATCAGGAATTCCACTGGAATGTGCTTCGTTAATTCTTCAAGTTGCTTTCCTTAGCCACTTGTATCAGGCATAATAATTGGATCGTTTACCGATAAGGGCTTGTCAGTCTTCTGGGCGGCCGTACTCCGGCTTCCGTTACAAACCTCGTCCATCACGTGCTGGAAGTTCTGCCACACGCTGCATAAAGTCATCAGAGACGGCCACCAGAACGTGAGTAGCATGTCAGGATTGTGTCCCATTTAACCTTATTTTCAATTATCGTTTTGTCATTTTCAAGGATATTTTTGGTGCTTTTTTGGTTTTTATGCTTTTAATGCAAATTTTCACATATTCATGAGCAAAAGTGTGATGTCATTTCAGGCAGAAACCTTAATGTTACAGCTATTCCATCACCAAAATTTGCCAGAATTTTGGATATATTCGCTAACGTAAATGTTCTTTTCTTTGGTGATTCGTTGTTACCGCATGGCAGTAAGCCAGTGAGCAAACTTTTCTCACAAATTTTTGATTCACAGTTTGCAAAGTAAACCCCTAAACTGAACAGTGTCTTCCTGAAATGACATCACAGCAAACCCCCCTCAGGTGTCTGGAGAAGCATGGACATGTTTTAAATGTTTAAAGTGCACTTTTCAATAAAATTAACCAAAAAAGGGATGTCAAATATTGTTCATACATTTAAAAGGATGTCATGCCCATTTAAAGGGAAAATACAACATTTGCAAACATCAAAAAAAGAAATGATCAAATCATCACGAAATACTTACTGGAATTGTTAGGAATGACAGTCTAAAGCATCCTTTAAATCGTGGCTCCTGGTGTGCTGACAATTTCAAGAAAAACTGCATTTTTCCAACGCTGGTCGGCCGATCAGCGTTGGAGAAAACTGGCTTTTTTTCAAAACTGTTCTTAATTTTTCATATTTAGTTATTCTGAATTTTCTTTGCAATTGATTACACACCTGTGAAGGGGTACAAGCCTGCTAGACTGATTTTCTGACCTTACAATTCCCCAAAGTGTATTAATTGCTCCGTTTCATCTTATTGGGGTCAGAGAACCAGACTACAAGAACATGATTGGTTTTCTTGGTTTTTCCAGCATCTACAAGCCCAAAACGTGAAACTAGTCAGTTAAACAATATTTTCTATATTTTAAGCAAATGTTGTACATTCCCTTTAAGCTCGTGCATCTTTCAAAATCTCGTATCAACCTTCCATCATGCCATTGTTAAGGCATTCCTGTAGTCTGTCATCTGAAATTACAACGTGAACCCTTTTCCAGGAAGAAATTTGTTTAATCTAGACAAATGGATACATACTCCTATTGTTTTGACTTTTCTTTTTAAATTTTGGCCTGATAAGACACACTTGTTTCCCGTTGTTTTTCCACGCAAATTGAAGAAAATGCATTGAATTGGTTGTTAATTTTAAAAAAAAAATATCTTTGACACATTGACATCTGTTTGTGATATTAGCCTGGAAACACAGTTTTGTTTATTAAGTAATGTCATGAATGTGGGTCTGACACATGTACACATGAAGACCCATGTACAAAATGTACATGGTTCAGACATACTTCCTGCTGTGTACTTCAACATGTACACGTAGTTCAGCCTACATGTACAAAATGTACATATATGGAATTTACATGCCATACATGTAGCAATTGTGTATAATGCCCGCAAGGCCGGCAGGTCTGCCATATGTCCATTTCCACTAACCAATATTTGATGAGAGTATTTTTGTTCAAACAAACCTCACACTAGCAGTAAACCCTCACTAATAACAAGTAGTCACTGTATGTGATTGAAATTCAAGGTAACATTGGAAACATGTGGGCAAGATGTACATTGTACACAGTACAATGTACACAAACCCATACCACCAGACCACTGCAGTAGGCATAGGGCCTATTTGTACATTTTAGGTCCATCTGGGTTTCTCTACATTTGTAAATTCTGGTCCACTTTTTTCCCTGTACCTTTTACATCTGACTATGGAGCTATGATCTGACATACAAAAATACTTCTGAATTCACTCTTAATATTATGCCCTTTCCTCCTAAGAGTGATTATGTACATTTTTGTAAATAAATAAAACTACCTACATTGTACACAACAAATGAGAAAATAGTTATAATTTTTTGTTAACGATTCTTGAGAGGTAAATTAAAAAGTTTCAGGAACAGGAAAATGTCACACTTTGGACTGTACATTTATTGAATGACCGATTATTATACACGTTCACTGAACTCTTTTTATTTTCAAACTTGTTTTGGCAGTAGAGACCTCTACAAAAAAAGAAGCAGTTTTGATCAATCTGACAGGTTGAATTTTGTTTCTTTGCGGCAGTGGGAATCCCCAGAGCCAAGCACCTGCTAAAATATCAGAGAATTTCCCTGAACGATTCATTAGAATTCACAGCCAGTGTGTGTACACAGGGCTTTAATGCATATATCCGAGCCTTTGTGTGGATTTCGAGCAGCCTGTAGCAACACTTGTAATCGAAGTAGCGTAATTTAAAACTATTCTGAGATGTAGGGTGCATAAAGTGGTTGGATTCTATCACCGCATCGGACACAATTAACATTGATCAGTCTCATGTTTTATATGATATCTTTTCCATCTGTCAGGTCTGCGTAAAAATAAAATTTGTTTTTGTGAAAAAATTCTTTTGGAGGAGTGCCATGTTAGAGGAAATAGAAAGTTGAATTTGTTGTCATACAGTGAACATACATTTGAGACTTTAATTAAGATGAGACTTACATGTAAATAATAAAAAATAAAATAAAAAGATACTCAAAATGAAAATAAAATAAAACGAAAAATGGAAAAATTCAAATTTCCCAGAAAGATTAGAAGGTGAAGAGTTACAGAGTAATGCATAAAGGGCTTAATACTGGTACATTATATTTTATGGGACTCCTTGCAATAAAACATGTCATGTTGGATTGGCCAATTCTCCAACAATGTTCTATGTCCCATTCTTTCATTGGTTTGTCAGAACTGCAGTACATGTACCAACCAGCCAAATGTGTGCAGTTTAGTGTACAGTATACTAGTGTTTCTTAACGCAACATACATGTAATCGTCCATTGCAATTGCCATCCTAAAGACAATGAATGAGGGTAACAGTCAAGTTAAAATTCCAAAATATTCATCTGCGGAACTTTCTGAACAAGACAACCGATGTATGTCTATTAGAACCAGTCCCAGAGTGAAATATAATTCTATTCAACTGATTCAGAACGGCTATTCACTGGAAGTGTCTTCAAATTTCATTCTTCTCGTGTACACAATGGGCATGGATTTAGCTCATTCATTTCTGTGTTACGGGTAACCCTGTATGATAGCACTGCCCGGCTCATAAGTCAGTATCAATTGTACATGCATTGTACAATGTATGAATGTACTGGTATATTATTTCTTGATAGAAACTGTGCCATAAATCTTAAAATGTACCGTACATGTCTGCATCTTATATGAAATGTAAATGATGTTACCATGGCTAGGATAATATCTTGCAATCACCCAGTCGGTACTCAGAATGATTAACTATAGCACGTCTCTGCTGCGCTATGAATGTCATGCTCACAAGACTAAAGTGGGTGAATGTCACCATGTCCGTTGTGGATTGGTTGTGCCTGCACTCGATATTGAACAGTGATGAGAGGAAAAGTACCGTGACATGATTGATAACACGATGTTTTACCAGTATGTTTACGTGTCTTGTACCTGTACATATGTTAGATTTTCTGATGCCTTAGTGTACTGTTCAACATGTTATAATAATATGCAAACAATTTTTTGCCAAGTTGTCCTTTCAGTCAAAATCAATTACATGTAGGTGACTGTTTTCAACAGTACAGTTAAGAGCTCCCAGCCCACATAAAGCAGGATTGACTGGCTGTGACTGAAATGTTGATAAGACAGCTGTGGCAGTGCCTACAGTTGCCTGCTTTCGTGGTTTTTGTCTGCTGACTGAATTTGACTAGTCAGAGTGCTTGCTTGAAGTGACTCCCGGTATCTTTGTGTTAAAGGCATGGCAGGGGAAGTGGATGGAATTGTTGACTGTCTGTGACTGTTCAAACAGTAGCAGGGTTAAGATGTTTAAAGCTCATTCCTACGTATGAAGAACATGTAAAGAAATAGAAACCAGTTAGTGTACATTGTTTTGCATTGGTACGAAAGATGCATAATTTACTTTGATCGCCTGTACATTGTAATTGTCTCGTGGTTTTGTTTATTAGCTTTTGCCAAAAATATGGACAGGAAACACTTACAGTTGACAGTATGTACTGGTACATTGTATGATGGATCTGTAAACAGAACTTATGGAAGGAAAGTTATGATTTTAAAGGCATTTTTGAAACAGAAAATCTTTTTGACTCAACAAAATACTGCTAGGGACATCAAGCTGAATGAAAATAGATCCAGGGCAGAACAATTCTGAGTCTGTGTACAGTAATATTCTGCAAATCCTTGGCAAATCTGGAATAGTTAGATTTTACATGTAGACCTGCAATATTAACGCAGATTGCTTACACAGATACTTGCAATGTGAAATTGTTAAGACCCCTTGACCCGTTAATTGGATTGCCTGGGTATAGGCACTGCAGTGGGCGTGTCATGCAGAACCCTAATGACCCTACCTGGACCCAATGTCAGGGCTCTGCTGGATTCTGTGCTTATGATCACCATTCTCGTTTGTACATCGCCAGCAATGACAATTCTGTGCTGGCCATGAATCCTTACATGCTTTCGGGATGTGCACTTGAAGCCAAAATACCTTGCTAGTTGCTAGCCTGTGAAATATTTGTGCACACTTACTGTAACTACGGTACATGTAAGCACTGGAGTTGTGGTGGGAATTTTTCACTTAGGGCATTTAGGGTCAGCAGAGAAATGAATCCACGGAGCTGCTAAAAGGAAACAAAACTTCACTGCCAAGAAAATTCAAGTTGTAATTACCGAGTGTAACATGTACATAGGAGAGAACCATTGATAAGCAAACATGTCATGACATTTGGGCCGGTGTACCGGTACCTTACTGGTCATTGCTGGTACCTGTAATTTTGCTTTTAAACATGTTAAATAAAAAGTTGTTTGCTTACCGGTAGTTAGTTTGTACATGTATGTAGATGCTTTGGGCCTTGGTTCTACAATTTGACATCCTAGTCCTACTGCTGCATAAATGTCATACTGTACAATGTACATGTACATCATGACAACCTGCATCCTACATGTACATGTATATCATGTATGTATATATGATTTGTTAGATCTTGATCTTAACCTGTTTCGACCTCATAATATGATGTCAAGTCATTTAGGATCCTTGGTTTGACCAACTATACATTAGGCTGTTTTCGCTTTTTCAGAAAGAAAGTCAACTTTGGCATGCTAACAGTTAATACATACATACCGGTACATCATGATACATGTACATGCATACATACATTTTGTAACTTTCTTGGTAAAAAAAGACAATTACTCAAACATACAATCAGTTTAGTGATATTGTACTGACATATGTACCATATACATGTACATGTACTAAACTCAGACTAAGAAATACCGGTACATTGTACAAATGTACATGAGTTGTTTTCCATGTACTGGTGTACTGGTAAGGATTAATTAATGGCAGAGACACTCACGTACATGTACACTCATGTATACATAAAGACGTTAATTTGTATGCAATACTGAAGTGAAGCATAGACCCACGTTAGAATGTGGTACTTCCATACGTGAATGTACCGGTAATTCAATTGAATTTGTACCTTAACTGATTGGTACTGATCTGTGTATCTGACTCTATGTACATAAATGGATTGAGGATTTGTAATCACTGGAAAGCAGAAATAGATGTTGGCCAGTACCGATAGGGAGGAATGCGTCACATATGAACTGACGTACATGTATGTACTTGCATGTGGGAACCATCTTAACCTTAATTCTCAGTCTCTCATGTAATGTATTCAAGCAAATCTCAAGAACAGACTTCAAACCATTAGCGCTTGTACATGTATTACATTGTAACACACTGTATTAACTCCTGGATGAATGCATAAAACCATAGAGTGCTGTGATAGGGACGGTATTTGGAGTAACGGGCAGGTAGGCCATCAGCCTCGGTCCAAAATTTTGGCCACCGGTATCAAATGAGGGGAATAATCGTCATAGCAATTTTTGGCAAGGTATACACCTCCAGAGTTGGAAAATATGTGAAAGCATTGCAGCAGTGGCAGCTTTTTGGGTTTTACCGGTATCACCCTTTTTTTTTCAAAATGTCAGTCAAAATGCTTGTTACCACTCTAGGGGCGGCATACCTTGCGCATGCGCACTATAATCATTTATGCCCTGATTTGATACTGACCAAAACCCCAGGCTGATGGCCTAAGGGCGCTTTGGGGCAGTAAAGTGACCAGTTTATTAGCTCAAAAATAAAAGTTACATATACACTTTGTTGAAATTTACATACACTGTATAGATATCAGCTTTTCAGGGTGATGTAAATTCAATTTAGGGTTTTTTCCCTTCACTGACGTATTTTATAAACGCTGTATATTCAGTGTTGCCTCCGAGTGATGGTGAAAAAAAAAAATCACTCGGGTGCCAGGAAAAACTCCGGCAAGCTCGGTGGTTGAGTGGTAAGACGTCTGCAGGCACTCGTAAGCAGTAGGTTGTTGGTTCAAGTCCCACCCGAGTTATTCTTTTCTCACAATAGCTCGGGACAACACTATACAGTGTTAATAAAACACATTGAAGGCCAATACCCAATATTGACTTTATTCTAAGTGCTGAAACTAAACAGAAGATATTAAGAAAATATTGAAAATAAATTCAGTTAGTCCGTTTTGAAAATAAATTGAGTTAGTCCGTTATGATGGTACTGAAATTTAGAACAATTTACCTTATTTGCATGGTTTTTTTTTGTGCCACAGGTTTTGAAGGATTGTCAACCCCACGCTGGGTACATTGGACGACTTGGTAGCAACTGGGTGAGTATAAACCATGATGCTGACCAAGGGATTATACTTTGCTCCAGTCAGGATTACGAGGCAGGGAATGGACTCTAGAAAACACCTGTCATTGCGTCAGTTCCGCTAAGTCCTGGGCCAAGAGCTGCTATTATTAGCAAAAAGTATTGCTTAGGCCAAAAAATTGTTCACAGTAACGACCTCAATATTACCGAGGTATTTTTGTCTCTTAGTGTTTTAATTTGCTTGCTTTGGGACCTTTAATAACAATAACAATAAAGTCTGTTTAATTGTTTAAATAACCACTCACAAAAATAGCATACATTGTAGGGAGACACCTTTTTATATTAAAAATGTACTTTTGTTTAATTTTTGGCCCAACGTGGCAAAAGAAAGTTTGAGGTCAGCAATTTGGTTGTGTTACTGTAAACACAATGGTTTTTTTTTTTTTTGTCTTAGCAGATTTTACCTCCAGCCAACGAGACAAACTAAAGAACCATGTCACTCAGCAATAAAACATCATTCCTTCTTAGCAAGTCTTAATTATTGTGACTCTGATATTGGGTTTGACTCCTTTGCCGTTCTGCTTACCAAAAGTCACACAGACACCTGTTATTGAAAATTCACAGAAACACCTGGCATTGAAGGCCTGTTACCATGGTTACTGATCCAGGATCTGTTTGTTTCTTTCCAAGATACAGATCCCAGATCTCAGGGATCCTTCTCATGAGGTTGATCAGAACGGTATTCAAAATGGCGACCATTTATTATTATTATTTATTATTATTTATTACTATTATTATTAAAAGTAACTGGCGTAATTATTGTTGAAAAACAAACTTGGTTGAAAAATAGTAAGGGGACTAAACTCCCTGTGAAATTATTCTTTCTGGGAAGCTGTCATTTTGAAGAAATCAATGAAAGAAGGCCTTCCAACGGTGATTCTTAAGAAGCACTGTAGGAAAATTTAAATTAGTAGTTCGTTTTGTTATTCAGCGCAGCGCACACAAGTATTGGAACGACGCACACGCACGCACGGTTGTTATAATTCGTCGGATCAGTGCACGACGTCGCGTATAGCTGCAATTCAAAACAATTCAAAACATGATTCAGTAACTTTTGATTTGAAATTGAGATCTTAGAATGCTGTTTTTCTCGGAATGTACAGCTGAAGCTTAGCTGAAACTTCATCAAGTAAGTTGCTCAGTATCCTTCATTACATTTTGAACACTTTTGTTGCTTCAAACGAACAAAATGCACTAATTACAAATGATGGACTATAGCTTTAAAGACCAATTAGATAAGACAAAATTATCAGAAGTGCCAAAAATAGGCACATCTGTCTGATTCAGCTAGGATTGACACTGTTGGATGTGTCATTACCTGGTCATTGCCAATATTTGGGCTGTGTTGTTTGGTCCGCCCAACTACAAGTACCCAGTCTAATAATAGACATTTAAATGTATCATGCTGCCACCATTTTGGTCATGTTCCCTGTATCCAATAACAGTACTGAATGATAATTTTTTTTTTTTGCAAAAAGGAACCAGACTATTTTTCCTTCAAGCCTAACTTTGGTAACATTGATTTGAATGGGAAAAAAAATCAAGATGGCGGCAACATGATAATGGTCCATTTTGTTTGTCCTGTCAAAAAGAACAAAGAAATTGAGAAGAAAACAAGCGGGAAAAAAACCGAAAAATAAACACACAAAACTGAAGAAAAAAAATACAGAAATGGGTAAAACAAAGTTGAAACCTTGTCATCTAATTCATTGTGCAGCTGGATATTTCTGCCTGTTGTCATTTCCTGCATGAAATCCTTGCAGATGCATTCATTTACAGATTCCAATTCCTGTTTCTTCTAGTTATCAAATTTTGAAACAAAAATGTAATAATGAGAAATCCGCAGTATATGTGACTGGACTGGCAACATAAGTTTTCATTCTGTGTAGTATCAACTCCTCTTGAATATTCTGATTAAAGGGAAAATACAACATTTGCAAACATCAAAAATCGAAATGATCAAATTATAACGAAATACCTTACTGGATTGTTAGGGAATGACAGTCTAAAATATCCTGTAAAATCTTGGCTTCTGGTGAGCTTACAATTTCAAGAAAACTTGTATTTTTCCAACACTGGTCCCAAAACATGAAACAAGACAGTTTAACAACATTTTCTACAGCATACTAATCCTCCAAATCCATTTATTTCTGAAAATTGCAGCAAAAGCAAATGTTGTGTATTCCCTTTAAAAAAAGAATACTTTTTTTGGGGGGGGACCAAAACTTGAAGAGGCCGTCCAAGATAACAAGCGTTTCAACACACAGGGAAATTAATTCACACAATCTATTTTAGTCTTCTATTTCAATACAATAGCATATTAACAAACACTATTAACAAAATGAAACTGTCAAACAACCCGATAAAACTGAAACAACAGATCAAATTTGCAGTCATTGTTCATCAGATTCACTTTCAAAAGCCAGTTAAAGGTAGAACCATTTGCTTTTCATGCATTTTGCTTATTTTCAATAACAACCTCACTCAAAATCCAAAGAAGAATGGTCAAAACATGACCCGTTGAAAGTTCAGCTCAGTGGATAATTATCCTTTTTGAGAAAACAGTGGGGAACCTGCATGCCCAACCTTTTTTATCATAAAACACGATTTCATCTGTTGCACATTTTTGTCCCCCCCAAAAAATCAGTCAATTGACTGATCGTTGTAAATCACCTACATTTCTTGATTTCTTCCAAATAACAGCGAGCGTGACGGAATAATTTCACAGGGTATTAAGTAGTACCAGTATGATCTTTTATCCAAGTAAGGAGGTATAATATTTGGTAATTGGGTAGATTGCTTTTGGGATAAATGCAAATGATCCATACCGGTAGATGCCTTTAAAGTCTTGAATTCAATGTGTGACGAACACATTTTTAAAAAAAATGGTTCACATGACGTACGTACATGTACATGTGTAATTGGAACTTAAGCTGTAGCCTAGTAATTCGACATTGCTTACAAGTCACAGGAATGAATATGTTGCAATTTCCTTTTCTGAAACGGACTTGATATTAATAAGCTTGGCAAGTTGTCAACATTGTCTCGTGACCGATACACTTACGTACCCTCAGTAACTGGACTAGGAAGGAACTGTAGATTAAAAATGATCCGCCGTGCTATTTGCAGGGGATCAGTCGGTGAGCAATCTAAAGCAATCTAAAAGGGGAATCTGTTATCCAGAGTGTTACAGGCAGTTCCTTTCATTAAAATAAAACATTTAAATGTCAGAATTGCTTGGCCAAAAAAGGAGCATGGACATCTTTAAGCTAAGTTTATTTTTAGTATTTGTGATAAATTAAACACATACAAGTTGAGAAGGTACCAGTAACATCCATTAAATTGAATTATGAAAAAGGTTTAATTCTGTCCTCAAATTGTTCAACCTTTATAAACAGTGCAGATATGATTGATTTGTTTCCCCGAAGCCAAACACTATATCCACCCAGGAATATTGAGCTCTGCTGAATCATGTTGGGGGTTGGGGACTGAATCAAATATTGACAGGCCGTCACGTTCACGGTTTAATATTCTACCAAAATACACAAGGTCAAAGGTTAACAGTGGTGATGCAGTGACTCATCTGCAAATGGGACAAGATATGTGTGTGTGTGTCAGTCTCTCGTTAGACTTGTATCAGTCCATCAGTGGATTTGTATTGTGATTGACATGATATTGAGGTTTTTGTTTTGTACATTGTTTTGAATAGGGGAAGTTGCACAAATTCACATACATGGACTCTATAGTCAGGCTTAGTCAGCGTGTTTATTTTTTTATTTCGTCCCTTTATATGGAGGCATGCATGTACATTACCCCCGGTATGTACATGTAATTTAGACATAGATTCCTCAAACGTTCTTAAGCTTTTGGACAAGCCTGAATAAATCTATGTCTTGTGGAGACCAGATCAGGTTTAAAGGTGGGAAAGATGATTTCTGCCATCATTTTAAAAATATTATCTTTATGATGAATTAGGTCTGATAACTTTGAATGGCTGACATCTTTTGGAGCTTTGTGACACTCTCCCTTCCTCCCCCCCCCCCCCAAAAAATTCTCCTTCAACACATGTATTCGGGGTTTTTTCCCTCTAGTTTGCTTAATGGGTCGTTCCATGAATTTAGAGTCCAAAGTGCGACAGTTTTCTGTCCCTGTTACATGTACCTGTCATTCAAGTGTCATTAAAATGACTTAACTGCCATTTTTAATATGTGTTTATATACAAATATTGAGTGGATCAGCGTGGAATGGGAGGAATATTATCGCTCGGTAAAATTTGTACTTTTCCATTTCACGAGGCGAAGCCGAGTGAACTGGAAAAGTCCAGATTTTACCGAGCGATAATATTCCTCCCATTTCACAATTTAAAGCCACTCAATATTTGTTTTATATAACTGACATAGATCCTTGTCATTTGATATATATTTGAACTTTTTTTTTTCAATATAAAACTGGAGGAAAATGTATTTGTCTCTTCCAAACCACCCCTTCACGAAAATGTTTGAACCCAACGCTGTAGCGCTGGCTCTTTGGAACAATACGCGCAACGCTGAACGCGCACACCAGCATGCATTTGCGCACAAATACCGCGTCATGATCCTAACTGTTGAATAGTATTTACCATTCCCCATGGGCGGATAGTACTTTTTGAGCCGGGGCGTGAATGGGAGCAATAATGAATGTCACGTGATGTGAGTTATGTCAGTTATATAATTGTTAATAATTTTTTATAGATTTTTATACATTTATATATTTCTCTGTGTAGCCAGATGTATTAGAATTGAAGGCCTTTGGGCCACAGTTTTTAGGTAAACTTTTGTAATTCCGGGCATATGCCCCTGGCTTTCGTTTTTGTTTTCGTGGTTTTTTTTGTTTTAATATTTTGTGAATGTTTGTTGTTTGTATGTGTTTTTAATGCCGAATAAATAATAATAATAATAATAATAACTAAGTTTTATTTGTTGGGTACCGGTAGGTCGTTTGCTGAACATACATAAATCACTCTTGCAGGTATCGATGCAAAATTAATACCTCACACACTACAAGCAGCAGTCAGTCGTAATCAACAAATTTAATCGCATCAACGTACCATACACATGGTTGAGTTAAACCTACGGTAGCTGCACGCAGCAGGGAATGCCTACAAGTTACTGTACCAGTACCTACACAAGGGCGGATCCAGAACACAATTTTGAGGAAAAGATGGTGGTGTACTCATTGCCTGCCTTTATTGCGATGTCACATTAAAAAAAAAAAATTGGTTTCGTTTTGGGGGGGGGGGGGCCATGGCCCCCTTTGCCCCCCCCCCCCCTGGATCCGCCCTTGTACCTGCACAGTATCTCTTTTGTTGACAACCAATAGGCTATATTTAGTACTTCCTACAGGTTCAATTCTGTTCCGTTTTGTCAATACTTGGTCAAGGTTAGAAAGCATAACCGTTGTAACCTTGTTCATCCATTCAAGTTCGGTCAACTATGTCAGATATTTCTAGTATTATTCACTTTTGGTTGTCAAGGCGTGACTGATTTGTGTTACAAATATTTGGCCATATATGGTCCTGGTACTTGCCAATTTGTCATCCGGAACTCAATTCATAAATTTTACTTTAAAATGTCAATGTTTAGTCATAACAATGAAATCTTTAGATATAACAATATATTTATAATGAAGTTCATCTAGTGGTTGGGTCTGAGATAAGATTAAAATAACAAGAACTGTCAGCAGATGACATTTATGTTATCATAAATAAACAATAACAATAAATAAGAATGGATTAGCTCTGCAGATATAATAAAAACAGCAGAACATACCGGTATGACACAGTTTATTAATTTAAAAAGAAAAAGTCATCTTAAATGATGACTGCAACTTTGTCCATGATGAGCTATGTACATATTACTTCAGCAAGTGTAATATTTATGACATGTCAATTTCTTTAACCATAATTTTGTAGAATTTTTTGTATCTTTCAGAGTCATCATACAGACGGCTATGGGAGGCTTGTTGGAAAATATTGTCAACTTCTCATCAATCGACTGGAGTTTAGTAGAAAGGTACAAAAACGGTCTGCGCATTCCAAAAAACATTAATTCAAAAGCAGATTCAATTTCATTTGTTTTTTTATTTAAAAAGTGATTTAGTTTTAAGTGATGACTAAAGAGTTTCTTTACCCTTGTTTCAGGTTTATGGTAGAAAATTGCTTATACTTGAATGAAGTTGTTTAGTCCCTTTTTGGTTAGAAAATTTCGTACCATACCTTGCTTTGCGATAAGTAATAAGGAAATAAAACCATTATTAAGTTGAACAAAGAAATTGAATGGAGCTGGGTGTGAACTTCAGGATTGCCGTTCCGGTGCTCTACCAACTGAGCTATCCAGCCCTATATTGGCAGTTCCCTATTATGTCAGTTCTTTGTTCATGGGTGTTTTTGGCTTCTGACTAGCGCCCCTTGAACAAAGACATTGACAAATTGGGGAACCGCCAACATAGGGCTGGATAGCTCAGTTGGTAGAGCACTGGAACGGCAATCCGGAGGTCGCAGGTTCAAACCCCACTCCAGTCAATTTCTTGAAGACAAAAAAAGAAATTTGTAATGCAGCTACTCAGTTTCCCTATATGGTGTATTTGAAAATCGTTATTATAAGAATACATGCCATTGTTGATAGACTATTTCCCATTTATATGTTGTACATGTATACCTATTTTCAGTACTGTTCAGTTATTTGCCAAAATTCCCTAATATGTTCAGGTTTTAGTATGTTGACTAACTCAACATTATTTTCTTTTTATTTGTTTGTTTGTAGCATCCTCTCTTTCCTGGGGACCTGAGACTTGCCTCTCCGGAAAGTGACCTGGAAAAAATGGCCCAGAATGACATCAATGCATTGTGAGTCTATTATGTGATTGATCAACCCTAACTCCCTAGGCATTTTTTGCTAGGATGCACCCTCAGTCCTGCAAAATCCTCCAACTGCCTCCGGGTAAAAATCGCATACAGCCTCAATCCTGCAAAATTCCCTGTTATTTCTTGAATGTGGTCCTTGGAGGGGTGACCACTGCCTCAATCCTGCAAAATCCTCCACCAATCACTGTCAATATGTTGAGGCACAGCCAGGGACATCCTGGAGCAGTGCGGAGAATTTCAAGTATAAATCTAGGCCTAGATTTGTTCACGGCTGAGCATAGGTCCGGCCTAAGACCTTGACACAGTGCATCCTCCAAAATCAGCCACACCTTTGTGCCATATAGCCTCAATCCTGAAAAATCCTCCATGTTTCAAAGAGGATTTTGGAGGATTTGGGAAGGTTAGGGTTAATGTTCTCATTAATTTAATGTTTGCAGGCTTTGTGCGAGAACATCTTTACTGCTGTTTTGTATTTTTAATTTTGGCAAAATCTGATGTTTGTAGCACTCTTATGAATTTAGGAATAAAGCCAACCTCTTTTTTTCTCATAGAGTTTGAGATCCAAATTTTGTTGAAAGTGCAATAGAAGCACCATTGGTTTCTGTGTTGATGATTTGTGTGGGCAAATTCCACAAATTCGGACGTACATGTACATGTACATGTCAGACAGTGTAATAAGCTTCCGTGTGTGAATATGATACATTACTAATATGAAAAAAAGTAAGACTGCTGCAAACTGCTTACTGACTGGATGGACCTGAAATATATAAATCTAAAAATTAATGTGGCCTGACGTTGCGAACTTAGCAAGTTCTTTTTCAGAGGCTAAAACTTTTCTGTTTTAGCCTCTGAAGAAGAACTTGCTAAGTTCGCAACGTCAGGCCACATTAATTTTTAGATTTACATTACTAATATGTGACATCTAATAAAGAAAAAACAATTACAGGCCAAACAAATGTACTACCTCCTTAACAACCTCGTAAAATCATGTGGTCAGATGTACAAAAAGAGCTGGATAAACAGAATTGCCCTTGTCAGATTCCAAAATCTTCCAGCAAATGAACACTTTCAATAATTACATAAATGCCTCAAAGTCTCAAGAGGAATAAGAACATTGTTAACTTGTTATTTATTTTCCTGTTGCCAGTTTCCAGATGTCTGTTGAGATCTTTGATCATCTGGATGCCTTGCTGGCATTGGAGGAAGCCAGTAAGTCATGTCACTCATTCCTTCCATTCCATTTTGGAGTGCTTTCATAATTTATGTACTTGTAGCTAGCACCTTCTCTAATAATTCCAAAGCTCGGCACTACATTCTGCAACCATGGCAACGGGTCAGACACACCGAAGCTCATCAGCTAACTCCAAGTAGTGTAGATTTCCTTTAAAAAATGTAACGACTGGTATCATCTCTGAAATATTCTTGCTTGCCTTTTTCCAGGATTCTAAAATTGGTACTGTTGCTAGCTTTTTAACCTGGCAACTTAGCATAGTTTTCTGACAAATGCCTCCAGGCATGCAACTTTTCCTCGGATCCGCTGATTTCCTCGTTTTTTACTTCTCATGAATGCCATTATATATTGAAAAATTCTGCACAAAGCCTTGTGTGGTTTGGAGTTTCCTCGTTTTTTTTTTCTGAATTCCCAGTTACATGCCTGTGCCCCCCGAACAAGAACAATGACCAAAATGTGAATTGTTTCCTTTCTCCAGTTTTCAGCACCTTCAACTTGGCACGGAGTATGTCCGTAGCCCCCAACGGCCAATGTCGTCTGGCACCACTCATCCCGGTCATCTTGGACTGTGGGCTCCTGTACGACTACAGCGTCAGACTACTCTTCAAACTTCACGCATGTGAGTCATCAAGTATTCACTGTCCTTGAAGATAAAATAAAATGGCAAAATATAACCTATTTTCCTGTTTTTAAATTATTACTTTGGATTCAACTAAATAGTTTGTGAATTCCTTGACTTTTTTTCAAAGATTATCCATATTATTCTCGAAAGTGGATTACCTCCTACCAACAATGTTTTTTAACGATTTAAAAATAATCCTGGACCACAATTTCTTGTAACTATCGTTGGTGATTCAAAAACGTGTGCCACATTTTTGGGACCAACAGTTGTCACTATGAAAAAGGTCAAATACATTTATCTATGTCAAGTTTGTTTCGACTTTTCTGTAATTGACATGTACATTCAAACAGTCAAAATCAAGTTATGCCTCCCAGGATTTTATAAGATAGGAGTGTCTTTCCTTTGCTAGATGTTTGATCTTCATTCAGTATCTCATTTAAAAAAAAAAAAAATTACTTTTGTAGTGTTGATGGAGATTAACTCAACTCCCTAGGCATTTTTGCTAGGATGCAACCTCAATCCTGCAACATCCTTCAACTGCCTCCATGTAAAAATAGTATATAGCCTCAATCCTGCAAAATCCTCCGTTATTTCTTGAGTGTGGTACTGGTACTTGGAGGGGTGACCACTGCCTCAATCCTACAAAATCCTCCAGCAATCACTGTCAATACGTTGAGGTAGAGCCAGTGACATCCTGGAGCAGTACGGAGGATTTCAGGTATTATCAAAGCCTAAATTTATGCACGAATGAGCATAAATAACTCAAGGTCCGGCCCAAGACCTTGACAAAGTGCATTCTCCGAAATCAGCAACACACTTTTGCCATGTAGCCTCAATCCTGCAAATTCCTCCAATTTGCAAAGAGGATTTTGGAGGATTTGGGATGGTTAGGGTTAAACCAAAAGAAGAACCTTGACACTAACATGTATTCATCTCTCTGTCCATTCCTCTGCCAGGCCTGCCAGCCGATACACTGGACGGACACAGGACTCGGTTCTTGAAGCAATTCCGAGCTCTCAAAGCTTTCTTCCAGACGTCTAGTAACCTCATGTACTTCCGCAGTCTCATCCAAGTGCCTAGCCTCCCCGATGTAAGTCAAGCCGTCACTTATATAGAGAGAAGTTATAAAACAAGTACCAAGTGGTACAACCCACGGTGGGTAACGCGTTAACACAGGCTACAGCACCTCAAGAGTAAAGAAACTGAAAATCGTGCATGCATGCACGTGCACAATGTCATGAACACAAAAATGATGAAATGTACGATACGTGGGAATTTTTTACAGTAAGTTACGTAACGCATCACTCTGGTATACATGTACTCTTTTCTTTACCTTGTTTTGAAACTTGTCATTCGGTGTTGGCACTGAAATGACCCACATACATGTACTACATGCAATCACAGTATATGCAATCACATGTAGCCTTCACTCGGTACACGAACCGTACAACCGTGAATTTTGCAGTGCAATGGAGGTGATCTAATATGCAAATTAGACACATGCGCATCAATGTCATCAAACAGCTATTCCAAAGAAACTCACTTGCAAATCTGTGATAAATGCGTGGCATGGAAACAGTATAATACACCCGGATAGAATGGGAACAGTAAACTGTCTACCAACCAACCCACCCACCTATCCACCGACCCAACCACCAACATAGTGAGCTCAGGCCCACGGCGCATTTTCAATGGTGAAGCCTGTGTAAATGTTATGAATGTTTGTGTCACAATAATATAAATGTTAAAGATATAGTCCATCATTTGTAGTTTGTGCATTTTGTTCGTTTGAATCAACAAAAGTGTTCAAAATCTAATGAAGGATACTGAACAACTAACCTGATGAAGTTTCAGCTCAGCTTCAGCTGTATATTCCGAGAAAAACAGCATTCTAGGATCTCAATTTCAAATCAAAAGTTGCTGAATCATGTTTTGAATTGGGCCTGAATTCAGCGTCCGAGACGTGTTCTCACTGAGCCGATTGCAGCTATACGCGATGTTGCGCACTGATCCGACGAATTATAGCAACCGCGCACGCGTGTGCGTCGTGCCAATGCTTGCGCACGCTTCGCTGAATAACAAAACAAACTACTAATTTAAATTTTTCTACTGTGCGTCTTAAGACGCACCGTTGGAAAGGCCTTCTTTCGTTGATTACTCCAAAATGACAGCTTGCCAGAAAGAATAATTTCACAGGGAGTTTAGTCCCCTTACTATCTTTCAACCAAGTATGCTTTTCAACAATAATTACGCCAGTTACTTTTCGGATGGCTGCAAATGATGGACTATAGCTTTAAGTCAATGGGATCGTTGTCATTGTGATTTTATGAGTAGTGTGTACTAATTGCTTTCTTAGTTTTAAGAAAAGCATTGATAAAATTGCTCTGGTACCGCTTGCTTGCTGGAGCAGACGTCTTGACTACTCAACCCCTGCTTTTCTTCTGAACAATTCTTGCGGTTGTACATGTACCATGAGCAACTCTTTCACATGTTCTGTTTGTAATCCTCACTGGGTATTTTGTGTAGGAGTGTCCAAAATTTGCAAAATGCCAAGACCGTCCTCTGTACTGAATCAAAACTGGGAAATCAAAACAAAATGCAGAAAAATTTAAAAAAATTGAACATTGAGCTTCAAGATGCTTGACTGTATTATACAAAACCAGAAAAATCACCCAAAACACATGCCGGATGTGAAATACATAAATTACAAGTATAATTTAAAATTGGTTAAAAAAGTTCTTATGAAACCCCCGTGAATTCTTCTTTTTTAATTTTTTTTTGTAAATTATATTTTTGTTGTATTTTCAGTCTTACACCTTAGACTGAATTTCTTAGACTGCAACTTAGATTCATTCGCCAACCCAGAACAGACTGGACAACAGCCTTAAAACCGACGATGATGATGAAGATTCGCCCTCATTACTGATTCTCAGAAACTTTGATTGTTTTGTTTTGTCAACCTCCTCCCCAGGAACCACCGAATTTCTTCTTGGCAGCTAAGCAGAGCGATACCTACATTGATCCAGCCATTATCCTACAGACCATGGAATCCTCTACAGACAGCAGCTCAAGAGACAGCCCGCCATCAAGCGTACGTTCACACATCAACATTTATTTTTGGCCCATCCGACCAAAACCTGCGCAGGAATATGTTCTACAACGTGTGTAGGGTCCTGCTTTTTGGAATTTAGTTTGTTTCATTTCTTTGGCCGACTAGGCTTATCCAGTCAAGGGCAATAAATGTGTTCTGTGAAAGAAAAGAAAGCTTTATATTGAAATATTGTGAATGAAAATGAAGACTTTTTACCTCAACGTCCGTCAGGTCATTCATGCAGATAACCATTGTGTGAATTCGAACAAGGGAGTCTGTGACTAGACTAGTCATCAGTGTTTGTTCACATGAAAAGTTATGTGAACTGGCGAGACTTGTACACTACATTGGAGGATGAGTGCTGATGACATCATGTCATGGAAACAGAGTTTTAATAGCGTCAACCATAAATCAATCCCAAGTCAATCACAAATCAGACACAAGTCAGTCACAAGCCAGTCACAAGTCAGTCACAAGTCAGTCACAAGTCGGTCACAAGTCAGTCACAAGTCAATCACAAGTCAATCACAAGTCAGTCACAAGTCAGTCACAAGTCAGTCACAAGTCAGTCACAAGTCAGTCACAAGTCAATCACAAGTCAATCACAAGTCAGTCACAAGTCAGTCACAAGTCAACTTGCAAGTCAATCACAAGTCAGTTACAAATCAACATGATCAATCACAAATCAATCACAAGTCAATCACAAGAGTCTAATTACAGACTCTGGTGTTAGAATTTATCCAATAACAGTTCGGTATTCCAACATTTGACAATTTTTCGTTAGGGATAAAGATTTCATCATATGCATGCAAAAGCATAGTGGGGTTCCAGCAAAATTGAAGAGATTGTCGTGTTCTGTAGTAACATTAAAAAAAAAGTTTGGACAGCGAAGTGTTTTTAGGTGTCTTGCGTGTCCAAACTTTTGTGAGAACGAAGTTTCCATCTCTTTTTGATCGCACAAAAAAAATTACACAGACTACTTTTGAATACCAAAGCGGCTTATTATTACCTGCAAAACTTTCATTTTATTATAGTCACAAGTCAGTTGTGTTAGGTCACATGTAACAGGGGATGAACAGTAACAAAGGAATGCCTTTTCTAAACTCGTGGAACAGCTTTCGACTTGACTTGAGATAACTTGTGATGCCTTCTAGTGACTTGTGACTGACTTGATTACAACCCTGCTTTGAAGAGTCCAAGTTAGGGATCCATTTTGAAACCAGTTTGGTCTTAAAAATATCGATTACAAAAAAATAATTGATACAAAAAATTAATTGTGCAGGTTTTCTCGGAGCCAATCTTTGAGGAGTTTCCACCACGTCAGGAGGAGCCACTGTCCAACACAGCCATGCTTCTTGACTTCAGCTCACCACGCCAGAACGGACAGACGTCAACACCCCAGCCCCCAGTACCACAGAGAGATGAAAGGTTAGACTAAAACTCATCAAATCCGCTTACCACAACAGCCCTTGTTTACCATCAAATGTTGCTTATGGTGCTAGTCCATGCTTATAATGTAAGCACAAAACATAAACACAATATTGCAGCCGATTTTATTTTGGTTGAAACAGTTTTACTCAATATTGGAGAAAAAAAATGTGTATAACTGTGTGAAATAATGTAATAATCTGGTGGTTGATAAAGATTAACAAGAATTGAATCTTTAAAAGCAATTGATTTTATTCATTCATTAATTTATTAATGGCAGGGATTTTCTGATTGAGCAACTGCAGCAGGAAATCGAGGAGTTAAAGTTTGAGTTGGATCGGATCCAGCGTGAGGATCAACGGATTATTGACGATCTCAAGAAGAGAGTCCTGTACCTTGAAGACGACTTACATGAACACAGGCGACTTATTGAGAACAGTTACCAGGTATCAATGCTATTAGCTGAAGGTTTTCAGTTAAAGGGCCCATGCAATGTAATTGTTTTAAAGCAGTCCTTGAAAAAGCACCTTTGTGCCCCATTTTACCTTATTTTCAATTTTTGTTTTGCCATTTTCAAGGGTATTTGGGGGCCTTTTTGTTTCTAATGTTAATGCAAATTCCATAATCATTAGCAAAAGTGCAATGTAATTTCAGGCAGAAACCTCAATGTTACAGCTATTTCACCACCAAAAGTTGCCTGAATTTTGGACATTTTGCTGCCGTTAATTTTCTTTGGTTATTCGTAGTTGTGTCAATACATGGCAGTAAGCCAATGAGCAAACTTTGCTCTCAAATGTTTTCTTTGAGCAAATATTTGGGTTCACAATTTGAACAGAAAACCCCTAAACTGAACAGTGTCTTCCTTAATTAAATGACATCGCAGCAACAGTGCCCTCAGTTGTCTGGAAAGCATGGACAATTTTAAATGCTTAAAGAAGTGCATTTTACAATAATGGACTAAAAAAGGTATGTTAAATAGTTTTCATACATTTATGAGGAGTAGAAAGCTGCACAAAATGTGTTCCTACGAAAAATTTCCCTTTATTTGAATGTTTTGTAAAATTGGTGGGCAGTAAAGGCTTACAGCACAAAATGGTCCATATTAAGAAAATCATCCAGCAGTGCCATTGTGGATTCATTTTTTTTTGAATGAATATTTTCTTGCATTTTTAGGAAAATGAAGACTTGCAGACCAAATTAAAAGACGAAACGGTGAAAGCTGAAACTCTGGCCGTCTCTGCTGTCATGACAGGGCAGCTAGACGAAGCAGAAAGTATGATCTTTGTTATTTCATTTTGTTAAGTAATGGTTTAAAAACTTAGTTGCACAGAATGGTAAAAAAAATTGTTTAAGCCAAACTCTGCAGAGGATTTGCAAGGAGCCTTCCTCCACTGAACAAGAATAACACATGCCTTGTACGTAAACTTTCAGATATAACATCAAGCCTCATGTAAAGTAATAACCATAGAGTTTTTCCTTCCTCAATCCTGTACACTGGTAAAATTGTGCAAAACCTGTTGGATTTTTTAGAAGATCTGGGAGGGTTGTTTTTTTAAAACCTACAACACATTTTTAAAAATTTTAAATAGGCAACATTCGGAACTATGGACTTTTCGACCACCTGACGGGACACACTGTGTGCACATTCCGTCGTGTTTTACTATACTCTGGAGGACAATGCTTTGTGTTTCCCTTTTTCCCTGTAATATAACACTCTCCCACAGACTAAGCACACATCCGTACGATAGAGGACCGTTCCAACAAAAGACCCAACGCTCGAGGACTGAAAGGATCTGTTGTTTTCCCTTTGGGTGTCGGTCCTCGGGGGTTATGTAGAACACGTATAGCCATACTTGTTCTGTAGTTGTGGGTACTACACACGAGTTGTCCCATGGTATTATGGGGACCGAAGACGCTGCGTGGACAGCAGAAAGTCCCCATAACTCAGTCCTAATTTGCCTAAAAATAAAAAAAACTTCCCCATAAGGCGGTGACAGCCCGCCCGTACTGGTTCGTGCGTAGTACGTACGAATAATTTTATACTTGAATGTGTGCTAACCCATAGCATCTTTGTGTGAGTGATAGACATCGTTGGCGATGCGTTCCAATGTCCCTCCCAGTCCCCCAACTCTCCTTTTGTAACCATTGAGGGGGTAGTTGTGCACAGAGCTTATATTTTTGTATTTTCTTTTATAGAGAAAGCCAAGGTGAACGAAGAGAAATTCAAAAAGATGAAAGATGTGTACAGTAAGCTTCGAGAAGAACATGTGAATTTGCTCAGAACGGTAAGTTGACAAATTGTTTAATGACAGAATAATTGGAAGTTGATTACATTTTTTTGTTCTGCAACATGGCCAAGAATACTTGAGCGAAGACATTGAAGAACATTTGGGGTCTAAGATGTGAGAAGAAAATCAGGGTTGCACATTCCTGGAAATATCCCGGAAATTTAAGCTATCATGGAAAATCTTTGAATTTTGTTGTTTTTCATGGATTCATGGAAATTTGACACTCCCAGAAAAAAAATCAGAGAAAAGTCATACAAATCCTGCACAACCTGAACGTGATGATGCGTGATATTTGTCTATGGCAGTCTTCCAGTTTGCATGCCAGTTTAGGCCCCTGTCACACTGTCACGATCTAGCCGGCTCCCGATCACGAAAAGACAGTACTGAGACGTAAGACTTGACGACATCGTGAAACTCGGAACGACATCTGAACTTTATCGGAGCGACTTCTTCAGAGCCGTTTCGGCATCCTACAGGTCGTGCATGGTCGGCAGTGGAGCCACGATTAGTTTCAACAGTAGAAACATATCGTGGTGGTCGGCATTAATATCCAAAACGGATCAGAGTCTGTTCTCTGTCTGTACTCAACGGTTGTGTCGTAACGAAGTCGTAACGAAATCGCAATAGTCGGTACGAGATCGGCAGTGGTCGTACATGGTCGGCCAAATTGTTTTAGCCGACTTTGATACGACCATTACGAAGTGACATTCCGAAGATGACATGACTCTGTCGTTTCGGCATCGGTTCTTGGAAGACAAAATTTGAATTTGGCGCCACATTTCCTACCGGTACATATTTGATAGGATTTTCAAGAAATGTTTAAATCTCATGGTCTTGGCGGGTCTTGGTCTTTGGTCTTGGATGTGTGACTGATGTCTTACTATACTTCTACTTTATGCGTATATGCTCTATACTCCTTGCTCATGCAATGGCACTCAGTGGTCTTGTGTCATTCTTGAAGACTGAAAGGGAGTGGCGTCCCTTGCCTCAGTGTGATGACTGCCCAGTGTATTGGAAATAGGCTCCTAAGATGCAAAACTAGAGTAGGAATTGGTCATGGAAAGTTTCAAATTTGTGCTGGAAAAGTCAGGGAATTTCAGTTTAAAATTACAGTTGGAACCCTGGATAATGCTTGGAAAAAGGAGACGGAAAATCCATGTGGTAAAAAAAGAGATCCACATGAGGCAGCAGGGATTCGAACCTAGCACTTCTGATGTGCAAGCCAAAGAAAGGATCAACTGAACCTCACTGATTTTATGTAATTTGGTTTCAAAACTTTCAAAAAGTCATGAAAAGAATCTGTTTCAATATGACGTGATCGGAATGTAGCAGTAGAAGTGTCAACAGAAATCCAATCAACCGATTTGACTTTAACTATTGAGTTTGTCTGTGTAATTGTAACTTTTCAGAATGCAGAGGTCAGTAAACAGCTCAACACCGTGGTCAAGACAACAGAAGAATCCGAAAAGGCCAAAATGAACGCGGAAAAGTTTGTGGAGCAGTTGCAACAATCCGTGGATGAGAAATCAGCAGCAGAAGACCGATTGAAGAGCAAAATGGCAGCCAAACAGAAACTGATATTGGGTAGGTCAGGAATCCGCTGTGTAGATAAAAAAATTGCTAAGTAAATTTACTCGGTAAGTAGAAATGAGCTGGTAACCAACCACAAGCAGTTTACTTAATGGGACAATTCGACTGGTAACCTTTTTCTGCTAAGTAAAATTTTCTGTGCTAAGCAGATTTGTGTGTTAAGAATCACCAGGAAATATGCCACTTGTGATGCATCAAGCCACTTCTAGCTAGTTGCCAGTGGCTCCCAGTAATGCTTAGAAAGATGCTGATAAGCAGAAACTATGGCCAAGAAAATTTACATGCTTACCCCCCAAAAAAGGCGATCCAGTCAGTAGCGAAACGTGTTACATGACATTTTTGCAGATTTTTGTCTGTGCCTAAGCATTAGTCTCCTTGAAATTGTTGTCTGGTCTTGGAGAAAGTTTGAGCAAGAACTATGGTTAACCACAGTTCAGTTAACTAATGTACTCTGTGCACAAAGAGTAGATGGCCTTTCTGGGCCACTTTCATAAGCCCAGTGGGAGGAACACACCATGTGCGCGTACTTGTTCGCACGCCTGTGACGTGAAGTACGCGCAACTAATGCTATTCTGAATGTGAACAAACAAGGTTCTTCACGTGAGCGTCAGGTTGATGATAGTTGGTCTTGACAGTATCTGGGACCGACCAAGCAAGTTTGCTTGCATTGCAGTTTACAGCAGACAGCAAGAACTGTGAGGTTTTGCAGTGACATTTGACATCAGTTTGAAAAGAGGACGTCCACAAAGTTCTCAGATTTTGTTTGCCTTTGAGAAACATTAGGAATGTTATTTTTTTTAAATTTAGAATTACAGTGACTTTGTTTTTATGTTTTGTTTGAAAAAAAGTTTTGGCTCAGATGCAGTGTCTTTAGCCCAAGTTGTTAAAATGTATATTACTTCCTTGTTTCCCTACACATCACTTGCCCTGACTTATTAACACCTGTTATTTGATGTTAATTGATTGGTTTTTTAGTGGGCGCTATAGAAGAAGCAGAGCATATGATCAGACAGGTCATAACACAGCTGGATGACCCAGCATATGCCACAGCGACATGTACGGCAGGTAAGATATTCAAACATCTACCAAACAGGTCTGAATGGTAGAAAAAATGATGAGATCATTGAATTAGCATTTTGCAATATAATCTACCCCTAACTCCCAATGCAGTTGTGCTAGGGACCTTACCAGATGCTCCAAAATCCACCACTGTCCAGGTACCCATTGGCATATCGAATGCTAATGTTCTTACCTCTCCTTGTAATGTCTGGCTTGGCTCTACCTTCCTCTATCCTACAAAATCCTACAAAACCTCCTGGTGGCTTTGGAAGGATCTGAGTGGGCTGGGATGAAGCATACTGTATGACATCAGTATGTTCATCCCATTTTTATCGGAGGATCATACGTTTTGCAGACATTGTTGCTCGTGATTGGCAGGCTTATACTCATTCCTTGTCAATTTACCAGGGAATCATACAAAGCCATGTTAAGCTACATTCAAGTTCTTGAACTCAAACTTTTATTCAAATCCTCAAACCTTGAGTCCAAATCCAAGTCCTCATTGTCGACTTCCAAGTCCAAACCTGAGTCCCAAGTCATTTGGGTTGAGTCTCAGTCCGAGTCACAAGTCACTTACAAGCACATTCAAGAAAAAATAACTACGGTAGAAGAAATATAAAAATAAATTGTTTCTATTAAACAAATATTAGTTTGCGCGAACATTTTTCAATTTTCAATGTAAAAAAGAGCATTTTATCATTTTGCCATCGAGTCCGGGTCTATAGTGTCAAGTCCGAGTCATCGTTAATAGTGACTCAAGTCCAGGTCGAGAGTCGTACATCTCTGCTTGAACTGTGATTCACCATGCATGGAATAACCAATATTGACGTTGTGATATGTCTGGGTGTTGTAATATGTCTGGAAACACATAATCCACAACTATCATTGATAACGATTCAATTTTCTTCTGCATGTAGAGTATTTATTGACACGCTCAGACAACGTGGACCAATCTCTTAATAAGCTACAGAAGACGTTCCAGGGGTACTCACAAAACAAGGAGAGTGGTAAGTGAAATGATAGAACCAACTCCAACAGCCTCCGTACACGTACTATAGGTAACACTGTGTGGCTAGTTCACAAGAGATATTTGAAAGACATATCAGTGGCCAAGTTGAATAACACTGCTCTGTGTGACCAATTTTGGCGGGCAAGATTTGAACCAACGGCCTCTTGCTTACTAGTTTAGATTTCCTGCACCACCAAACTGGTGGCTTGGATGGCTAGTGCGTAAAGCTCTTGCCTCTCACCACTGTGGCCTGGGTTCGATTCCCGGCTCAGACCATACGTGAGTAGAGTTGTGCATTGGTTCTCTCCTGTGCCATGAGGGTCTTTCTCCGGGCTTTCCGGTTTTCCTCCCTGCGCAAAAATCAAACACTTTCAATCTCTGGCTGTGCTTCAAGGCCATACGTGAGTCATATGGCGGCTGCCAAAGGCGCCTTTTACATGCCTTCGGCTCGACCACGTTGCAGCCACATCCTTCGCAATTCGGCACACCAGCTGCGGGTAGGGATGATTAGCCCCCATCATCATTTTTATCATAATTACTTGCTGGGGTCAGCTGGTTGATCGAGTCTTCTTTAGGTTGTTTGAACTTTTTGACTTCACTTAGAATGTGTTACCCAAGAAACTCAATTGATCCCATTACTGACAACAGTTGTAATCTTTGGATAATGTTCTTTTCTCTTAGAGTTGAACTCATTAGTGCGTCATGTCTCCTCATTCTCCTACACTCTTGGCGAGTACATCTTACAAGGCAAAGCAACATCCAACATGGCACCACTCACATTCAGCGAAGGTATGTTATCATGCGACAGTCAATTACAAGAGTAAAAGTATTAGTAAAGTCTGTCACGAGCCAATGTGGCCCATCAGGCCGGCGTTTATCTCCGGTTTCAGAAGCATGAAATGACGGAGAATATTTTTATTCCCCCTGGATGGGATGCCAGTTCATAGCAGGTTGCTCCCGATCTAATGCCAGTACCCATTTATACTCCTGGGTGCAGAGAGGCAGGTGGGAGTGAAGTGGCTTGCCCACGGACACAATATATGACCAGCAGCAGGATTCAAGCCCCGACCCTCTGATCATGAGTCAAGAACACTAACCACTGGGCCACACTCCCCACCCATTACAAGTGGCTGTACATTTCTTTATTTCACTTATTGAGATCTTTGGAAAGAGTACATCATCAGTTTAAAAATGATACCAAACTCTACACATTCCTACGTGAAGTTAGTATAAAAAAATCATCACTTTACTCAATTCCCATATCAAGGAGCATTAAAGTTTACCTGCTAAAATTCATTATTTGTAGCATTGACAATCAGTCCTAATCGCTCCAAATTGCAGGAAGATCCTCCAAAGGCTTAATTTCTGACAGATTGCTGACTTATTTTCCGAACTGATCGTTTGAGCCTATCGTGCCGCAAAGCATAATCCACATGTACAACTCATATCTGTTCAGTTGATGCATTTCTATCATTGTTTGATCGTCTGGATATACGTTTCTTCCCCAGGTTTATCGAGTGCCTGTAAGTCGGCGGGCGAGAGATCACTGGAGTTACTTGGGACATTGAAGGGCAACACGCAGACAGGAGATATGGATAAGAGTAAAGAGAACGTGGAGCAAGAATTGAAGGAGATCACTAGAATTGCTAAGGTAGGATTAGGCAGTGTTGGAGTCCAGACAGTTACTAGAGTCCAAGATTTACTTTGACATATTTGTTGGTGTAGTATGAATTTAGCCGTAGAACTAGACACTGTGGTCTGAGTCGAAGGCTTTTGATAATAATAGGAATATCAGTAATTCGCATAAAAAAATATGGTGGAAATGTCCAAGAATTTATAAGAGGACTCAGACTTTATTGTGATTCCATGCCCTTTTTTATATATATGTAAATTTCCTACATGTACCTGTGTAAGCTGCGTGTCCATGTACTCATAATCTGATCCTCTCAGAGTGGGCACATCCTTGACGGTAAATGAACAAAGACTTGACTATAAAAACTTATAATGTATGTTTTGTGTGTATTTATAAAAAGCACGTATTCACCAGTATTGGTGCTCAAGGCGCTACATCATTATCACCCTGCTCATATTTTTTTTCCGTTCTTCCAGGAATTGTTACCTCAAGAAGCTGATAATCAGGAAGAATTTGGCGATCTAGTGGACAAAGAGATGCAGGCAACAACGGATGCTGTCGATAAAGCTGCAGCTAGGATTGCGGTAGGTGTTTGTTGGTTGGTCCGTCACGCTGTTTGTTAGTTTGAGTAGATGTTTGTTTGTTTGTCTATCTTTTGGTCTATTAGTTTGTGAATCTGTTATTCTATCGGGATATGATTGGTGGATGTAGTGAGCCATGGTTTGCAGACAACAGATCCAGGGGCAAAGCGAAAGCTGAAAATTTTGGAATGTGTCTGTCTGTTGATCCGTCTGTCAGTTTGTCTGGTATTTCAATTGGGCAATCTAGTGGACTATGCCAGCAGCAAAAAGATACCGTAGACAATGCATTGGTAGAATTGTGGTATATGTCTGTTTGTTTGTTGTTCCGTCTTGCCGTCTGTTAGTCACTGAATTTGTCTTAATCTCTGTTGATATGTCCTCTGTTGCTTGGTGCATAACGAATATTTAATAACCCATGATATGTCAAAAACAGCACCAGAAGTTATGCCCCCAAATTTGGGCAGGGTTCCATTTTGGGTATTCCTCATTTTGTCTGTTTTATTTTTACGTAGTAAATGTATTTACACCTATTTTAACTTCAAGGTAGGATACCTGAATTTCCACAGAACTGTCTTCCAAAAAGATCTGTTTATCTTTTTTCCTCCCTTCGTTTTAACAGGAGATGTTGCAGAAATCTCGCCAAGCTGACACAGGCATCAAACTGGAAGTGAATGCTAAGATTCTAGATTCTTGTAACGATCTCATGAGCAGTATCAAGATGCTGATAGAGAAGTCCAAGTCACTACAGAGGGAAATAGTAGGCGAAGGAAGGGTGAGTATTTTATATACCCCACTTCTATTCCCTGGGCTGTATAAGAGTAGCTTAGGTATAACATACCAATAGAGAAATCCACGTCACTACAAAGGGATATAGTTGCTGAAGGAAGGGTGAGTATTTGATATGCCCCTCGTCTATTCCCTGGGCTCTATAAGAGTAACTGAAGTATAACATACTAATAGAGAAATCCACATCACTACAGAGGGAAATAGTGTTATGATTTTTTTATTATTATTAAATGGTTTATTTTACTCTCCCGTCGCAGCCCGAAGGCTGAATTGTGGGCAGGTTTACATTGAAAACATTAAAAATAGACAGAGGTAAAAACTGTATGCATGACAATAAAAATAATTACAAGACCTGTAAAACATCATAACGAGAGTATGATGCAGGTGAAGGAAAGGTGAGTATTTAATATACCTCTCTACTATTCCCTGGGCTGTATAAAAAAAGAGTATTCCCCGGGCTCTATAAAAAAAAAATGTTTTTGGAAGTATAGTGTACTGATATTCCAAACAGTTATTCACACAGTAAACCGAGTCAGTTATTTGTTGGGGTTTATATTAAAAGAAAAGTGTTCTCCAACTGCCAAATCCCAGGTTTGCATGACGACACCCCCCCCCCCCCCCCCTCCCCAGCCCCATGACTCATCCAGGTTTATATGTTCTGACTAACGCCCTTGAGCAAATCAATTAACGGAGTGGGAAACTGACAATGTGTGTGCATATTTTGATAGCGATCTCTCTGATTGGTTGCAGGGTACAGCCTCAGCTGGTGAATTCTACAAGAGACATCACAGGTGGACGGAGGGACTGATCTCGGCTGCTAAACTGGTGGGCGTCGGCGCCACACATCTGGTGTGAGTATCAAATAACAGTTCATTATTCAGCCTACAGCCGTGTTGTAGTAAAAATAATCACAAGTCGATTCATTTGTGATTGACTTGTGGGCACTTGACAACAACTCCACCATAAACTAGTAACCGCAGCTGCATTGTTCTCATGTCCCTCAGCAAGACACTTGACAGCGATTGCTTCCCTCCACTGTGGATCATAGAACATGTTCCTCAAAGAATTATCCAAAACTTTAATCAGCATTCATAAACACCTAAGACAGTTTACCCATTCCTATTAGTCGAGAGCCCGTCACGTGGCCAGTTTTAAACGGTTGACAAAGACCGGCTGGCTGGTCTTAAACACTTTTCCAGTGTCACATGAAATTTGGACTCCTATCAAATCTGGTGTCTTTTAGCGTTTTACAGCTGCGTTCTGCACCACATCACGCAGTACACGGGACGTGCATGCCAATCTCCATATAAGGAGTTGTTTACAACATTTTGCGAGACATGACATACCATAATATCGCTCAAGGGGTGTCCTGAAAAACATGATGTAAAATTGTTGAGCAAAATCGTTGGAAATTTATCATTTTTGAATTGTTTTGACTTTTGGACCGAAAGGTTTTCATTTTTTTACCTTTCCGCTTGGGTAATTATCAGCATCCAGACTCCAACCAGTCTTAAACATTGTGTTTAAAACTGGCCAAGCACACATTTATTCCCTTAATAATTCATCCCAGTTGTTGTTTTCTCAAAACATACCTAAACAAGACTAGGAAAGCCTAGTATATCTGGTTTTAGAGCAGGAAAAATTCTATTAAATCGATTCAAAACGGCTATTCCCTGGAAGTCTTGTCATACATCAGGTTTAAACAAGGGGCCAGATTTAGTGCATTCATTGGCATTACAGGGTAGTCCTATACAATAGCACTGCCCAGCCCTCTTCACCAGACCAGTTTACAACCAGTCTAAGTCTCAAGTGACAGTCGGGGAGTCAGCCAGTCAGTGAGACCACTAGGCTAGACCTGCAAACGTCACAGCTAGCGTCTTTTATCCTTGTCTTCTCCCATCAGGGATGCTTCGGATAAGTTAATGCAAGGCAAAGGCAAGTTTGAGGAACTGGAGGTCTGCTCCCATGAGATAGCCGCTTGTACGGCTCAGCTGGTAGCGGCTAGCAAAGTCAAAGCCAACAGAGAGAGTGAGAATTTGAAGGGATTGCAGGGTGCGTCGCGGGGTGTGGCATCGTCGACTGCGGCTGTCGTTGCATCGGCTAAGACTGGAGCTCAACTGATTGAAGAAGGAGGTGAGTACATGTTCATGAGTGTATTTCTTTGACTAATATTCGGAGGGCTGTGTATGGACCAATTTTAATAAATTTGGGAGCAATTTTATGACACTGGACCAAAACTCTTACTATGTATGAGAGAGTGACAGTATGAATCCTTCTGGTGGGAAGTCAGTATTCAGTGCAATATGTAAAACCCTTCAAAACCCTGCAGGTCAGTTTCATGTGAAGGGATATGAAGTGTTAAAGTAACTGTGTCACACAGAGAGTCACTGCACACAAAAACCAGCACTGTGGAGAGCAGTGAAGCGTGACTGAATCTGCCTGCATGCCCTGAGCTTAACCACACAAAAGAATTGTGCAGGGATTTGAAGTGTTATCCATACTCCACAGAAGATTACCTCAAAGGAATTTGAAGTGTGGGTGCTAACTCTATGGGCAAAAGTGGTTTTGCAAAACGTAAAGGAATGTGAACTGCGGAAGACTAGTAGTAGGATTAATGCTAGTTAAGATGACGTGAAATGCTCAGAACCACTCACAAATATGCATCACTTATTTCGAAGTTTAATGTAGTTATGTTGTGTGTTTTCTGGTAACTTCCTAACAATTTGTTTTTATCTGTTGTACAGACGTCAATGACTTCACCAAGCTGTCGTTGACTCAGACCAAACGTTACGAGATGGATGCCCAGGTGGCGGTCTTGGAACTCGAGAGCAAACTGGAGAAGGAACGCGTCAAGTTGGCAGAGTTGAGGAAACGACACTACCAGTTGGCTGGAGCCTCAGAAGGCTGGGATGAGGAGGTAAGAGATGGATGATGCACGGTGTCCAGAGGATTAGGCCGGGTATGAATTACTTGGCAGGGGTGAGATTATTCCAGATTTTTACCAGATTCATGGATTTAAAAAAACCCGTAAATGAGAAGTTTTCCTTTATTTTCCCCTTAGTCTTACCTCTGACGTGACTACGGCTTGCTGTTACACACTGCCTATGGAAGTGGCTGTAGCCACTTCTCATAGACAGTGTGTGACTGCTAGCCATAGTCATGTGATTCAAATGCATCCTTAGATTGGGATCCAATTTCATGGCGCTACTAAGCCCACAATTTTCTGTGAACAGAATCCGGGTTGATTTGTGGAGACGTTGAACAGTAGACACAGTGAAGAAGTTGCTAACTTCAGGGTCTTGAATTTGCTTATTATGGGCTCCGTGCATAAGTACCCCCTCAACGGTAAGAAATGGAGAGTTGGGGGAGACCACTGGGTGGAACATTGCTGACGGCGCCTGACGCTCACGCGAAGAAGCTTTGGCTTTGTGCACATTCAGGAAAAAATAAGCTATTCGCTTCACAAACCAGAACGCGCATGCGGTGTGTCCCGTAACCTTTCTTGTTCGCGCACGGAGTCCATAGTGATGTTACCATAGAAATCTACACACCCACGCAAACGTTAGCACTTCTGCTTATTGAAAAGTTAGCACAGCCTTTCCGCTAAGTGCAAAAACCGTAATAAAGAGATGCATGCCTGCGAACAAGACAACTTGCTAATTTGTAAAAAAATCTTCCGCCATGGTTAGTAAAAATTCTTGACCTTCTATAAGCAGAGCCATGAGATTGGGCCCAGAGCTGTAGGAACAATAAAACCCTGGCTAGAAAAGTAGACAAATGCGCATTAGCAGTTTGAGTCAGGTAGAAATATTGCATATGTAAAAAGACAGATCGCATTGAATCTTGTAAATAGAAGACACCTTTTTGGGACTTCAGTTACAAAGCTCGTATCAGGAGCTTGAATCTTACATTGCATCTTAGCGGAACTACGTCTGTGCCAAAAACAAAAGAATATATCTTCGCAGAATTGCATTTTTATTAAACAAATACATTGATGAAATGGGGAACTTCCAACATCGGGCTGGATACCAGTAGCTCAGTTTGGTAGAGCACCAGAACGGTAATCCAGAGGTCGCAGGTTCAAACCCTGCTCCAGTCAATTTTTTTGTTCAACTTCTAAAAACATCAGAAAGCCTCAGAATTTGATACAAAATTTTAGGCTCAAATGAGACAAAGAACTCCTGTGTAAGGTTGAAGGTTTCAGGTTTTTTCCCCAGCACTTTTTGTAAAGTAAAAATCTTGTTACAATTGTGAAATGGCAACCATTGTCTCAATTTCCAATGGGCCAAAGTCACACAAAAAGTGCTTCAATGAATAAAAGTTGGGACTGTACCTCTGAAAATAAATCTGGGTTTTTTTCAGCAATCCGTTTTAGGCTGATTCCTTTAGAACTTGAAAAGATATCACCTAAAAAATAATGTTTTTGGTCCCTTCATCATAACCATCGGTAAATACTTTGGGACAGAATTTGATGAATGGTGTTCTTGTCCATTGTTCTGATGTCTTTGTAGACAAAAGAAAGATCTAAATTTCAAAACTTTGAGGGTTGATCGAGCCCTTTCCTAACTGATCAGTCATTATCTCTTTAGGTTTCAACTTGTTTCATTTCACCATATTAGATTAGTAGCTCAGGAATTGCAGTCCAATACCAGTCGACTCTTTCATTTCCACAGCTTTTGCTGCAATAAGAACGCAAAAAAAATCACTCATGGGAAAAAATCACTCATTGCTTTCATTATCTCAGTTGTGCATTGCGGTGATTTTCCAGCTTGGATCCATGCTTTCTTTGTATTGAATTCATTGTTAAAATTGCTGTGACTGGTCAGTTAACCATCAATAAAGCTCAAAACTAAAGCTCAAAGGGTTCATGGTGATGGTACAGCCAACTTTTGCTCAAATTCTTTGAAAAAATTATGAGTCTTTCTATACCTAACAGAAACACCTTTCAGAAAGTAATGGTTGTTAAGGAAACATGCTGAAAAGATAAGCTGAGAACCATTCTAAGATGCTTCGTCAAACTTTTCTGAGAATTTTAAAATTGTGTGCGAGTGGAAAACACCTTAATTTTTTTAATGAAACTTCAAGATTCCAATTCCTTTTTCTGAAACCCTCTGCACGCCTTCATGTTAAAGACAAATTGTATTGCATAAGTGTTAGTAAGAAGCACAGTTTTTGCTAAATGTTCTTTAGCATTTTTTGTTGTTCTGCCTTGCATGTACATGTAGTTTGACATTTCAGTTACCAAAGCATGATAGATAGATGATTTTTGTTTGCACGTCTTGTCTATTTCAATTTGTGTTTTTGTTAACGTGAGAGTGACATGAGTTGTTGCAAACAAGGGATATAAATTTGAAATGATGGCTATTTCTAAGAAAGTTTAAAACTGCAAAAAAAAACATTTTGTGTAAAAAGTTTGAATTTTACAGGATTTTGTTGATCTCAAGTTAAGTAATCACGCAGCTCAATCAAATTTGCAAAGAATTTCAATTCTATTATTTCTGCAACTGACAGAATGACGTTAATAAGTTTGCTTTGTTGTTGCTTTTTTTCTGTTATAAAGTATGCTTTTGTTTTGTTTTGTTGATGACGGTATTATTTGTTGACTGATACTAACCATTGCTTGCTTGTCTTTGCTTCTTTTCTTCTCCCGTTCATACCCGGTACATAGACCATAGCTCATAGCTAGTCTCTAACACCAAAGGTATGTACAGAGACTCTACGCAAGTCATTCTATAAATTTGGGGTCCCCTTTCTTTTCCTGTCCCTGTTACATCTGACATCTATGATTTTATAATTCTGATGCACTCCTTAAAGGGAATATACATCATTTGCTTTGCTGTAATTTTCAGAAATGGATGGAATTGGGGGGTTGGAAATATATAGCAAATATAGTTACACTGACTTTTTTGAGGTTTTGGGTTCGAAAATGCTATAAAAACCAAGAAAAACGATAATTTTCCTGTAGTCTGGTTCCCTGACTCCATATAAGAAGAAACAGAGCAGTTTACATACATTGGGGAATTGTAAGGTCAGGGAACCAGTCTAGATGGCTCGTACCCGTTCATAGGTTTGTGATCGATTGCAAACAAGTGCGATGGTCAATTGGGGCCAGTATTTGGAAAAAAAGCCAGTTGTTTCCAACGCTGATCGGCCGATCAGCGTTGGAAATTGATACAAAAATACCACTTTTCTTGAAAATGACAGTATACCAGGTGCCATGATTCTACAGGATGCTTTACACTGTCATTCACTAACAGTCCAGCAAGGTATTTCAAAATGATTTGGTAGTTTTATTTTTTGATGTTTGCAAATGTTGTATTTTCCCTTTAATGCAGTTGTCCTCCAAGAGTGATTGTGAGTAGCAAACTAGCTACTCAATACATTAAAAATTAGTTTGAAGTCATTCTTAATGACACTTGAATGGCAAATTATAAAGTACCAAGGTAACAGGGACAGGAAAAATGTCATACTTTGGACCCTAAATTTGTAGAATGACAACATGCATCTTGTTTAATGTTGACTACTCCAGCTACCACAATTTGGAGACATTTTGAGGTGGAACTGGGCTTGCATTTTAAAGTTGATGAATACAAGGCTGTTGCAATAATTATGGGCATTTGGCAAGTCAACAATGTTGTTGATCAACTATGTACGACTCATACATGAGAATGCTACACCGCAGTAAAATGTGGTTGCTGGATTAGCCAGTTGGTATACTGAGGGTGACGCAACTATGCCTCGTGATACTGAAAACTTGAGCATTAACTTTTTGAGCAAAACGTTTTCCAGCGGTCAGAATCCTTCAGAGTCCATATGACAGCTGATGTGTTTTCTAAGAAAAAAGAAAAAGAATGGCTAGGGTTTTTTTTTACTCCTCAAATTATTCTGTTGGAACCGCATATTTGATGATTTCTAAAAAAAAAAAAAAAAAAAAACAGCATTAAGAAAAAAAGAAGCTTTTAAGTAGACCATTGGAATGGGAGACACCACACTTTTAATATTTTGTTATTTTATTTTTTTGCTTTTTGCTTTGCATTTCTATGCCAATAATGGTCTTCTCTGATTCATACTTTCAACACAGTTGGCATCAACTGTATGCTGACTTGAAATGTATGCTGACTTGAAATGTATGCTGACTTCAAATGTATGCTGACTTACAAATTTTACAAAGTTCACTGTCACCCATATCATAAATTATCTCTCTGTTTCACCCATGGATATAAAATTACGATAGATACATGGATAGGATTATTCAATTTTTAAAAAACAGTGTGCAAGTAGAACTCTGGTTTCTGAGGGGCAAGGAACTTATATCTAAGTCAAGGGAAATTATTTACTTTATCGCAAAAAAATAGTACAGAGTATCACAGGAACAGGTAGTGTCGCTTAATTTTCATATTTTTATTGGTTTTTTTTTTATTAATTAATATTATTAAATCTCAAACTTTCTCTTGTTTAAGGATCCAAATGCGGAAGGATTCCTGGACAAGCCAATTCCATTGCAGTGAGAATGCATCAGCCAATCAGAATGGATCTATATTTGTCTGGATTTCTATCAGCCAATCACATTTGGTTACACTGAACACTTGACCAATCACAGTGGTTTTAAATATGTCAGGATCTATCTCAGCCAATCACATTTGGTTTCACCGTACACTAAACCAATCACAGTTGTTTATATATTTGTGAGGATTTATCTCAGCCAATCATATTTGGTTTCACTGTAGACTCAACCAATCACAGTGCTCAAGAAATGTAGGCTCCACCAATCACGGGAGCTTCTTAATTGATCCAGCCAATCAGAGTAAAGGATTAAGTCCAACTTTTATTTGAGTTATGTAACCATAGACACAGGCCAGTTTCAGAGTTTTTGTACAAATAAAGCGAAAAGATATTTTATGCTCTCGAAGGCAATAGTTTTGAAAAAGCGAAAAGTGTAATCTAAAATATAATAGAAAGAATCTTCAGGCACAAGTTTTTCTTTATAATTGAAACTCCTATCCTTTGACAAAAAAATCTACTTAATATTCCACGATCTAAAAATGCCTTGAATTCCACATTATTCCATTCACTTTTTTGCCTAATCGATTTAGTACGTTTATTTATTGCAACGTTACTCAAGCATTACAAGTCGTCTCACCAAGTCTTTTGTCTTAAAACCGAATCTGATCATTGAGGTCAGAAACGCTACATTTTCAGACAAAATTTGATTATAAAAAAACTGAGATTTAGATTGGAACATTCTGAATTATGCTTTCTTGTTTTGCATAGTGCATTTAGATTCAAAAATGCCGTCAAGTTATTTTTCAAAGTCTGTCTGAAATGGTTATTGTGTATCATATCTATTATTAAAGGAAGTGTCTGTAAATGCTAGTGCATGACAAATCCTAATGTTTGGAAGTAAAGTTTTCCTGACAAATTGATGATGCCCAAAAATTTAAGTTAAAGTATTAATTTACGAGAAGATCAGGTCGTTTTTAAAAATCGGAACCGGGTTTTATTTTTTATAATTGCATTAGTTGATGGAGGCAAGCATTTGTGTGAATGCTGGACAGTGCAGAATGCGTTCTGTGTTCTAAAAACATCTAAATTAGGTCTTTAAATAAATAAGTTTGTCACAAATGTCATATTTTTATTGATGTCACAGCAAATTATTCCAATTTTGTATTGGTTGCCTTGGTGTTTTATTTCTTCAAATACTTCATAGCATTTGACTAAAGATGTAGAATTATTTTCCACGAATTGTCTGAAGAGCACAAGAACAATTCGACATTTAGCAAAGTTCAAACTAGTTTCATTCACATTTTGCTTTTGAGGGAAAGTACATGTAGTCTCGTTCTGTTTTAAATATCTTACTGTTGACAATATATTTTGTATCATATGTATTATTATATCATATCTTTGTCGTAATATATGAATGTACTGGCATCATGTACATTGCTGTATTTGTATTTTCTACTTCAAACTATATTGGTGCTTGCTATACTGTTTGGTTATTTTACACATTCATGTACTGTAGATGCTGCCTTATGAAAATGCATAGTAACTACTGCATGATCTATTTTCTCTTCTGTCAATTTAGTCTTTTCTACCTGTTTCTCTTAAAGGTAGGGTGCCGGTATATCATTTGTCATTTATGCATTTTGTTTCGTTTGAAGCAACAAAAGTGCTCAAAATCTAAAGACTGGTGTATAAACCTGATGAAGTTGTAGCTCTGTGAATGCTGTATGTTTCGAGAAAACAATATTCTAGGATCTCGATTTTAATTCTAAAGTTGCCAAGTCATGTTTTGAATTGTGCCTGAAATCAGCATCCATTGTTTTCATTCAGCCGATTGCAGCTACGCGATGTCACATACTGAACCGAAGAATAATATCAACTGTGCACGTGTGCGTCGTGTCAACGTTTGCATGCACCAGTTACTTTTTAGATAGCTGCAAATGATCTACATTTGTACTCTATCTTTAAATTCCCTGCTGTTGGAAATGCGTGTCCATTATGGACATTTCAAGGCTCAATGTGTAAAACCTGCAGGCAATATTGTAGAGCTCACAGACCTTCAGAACTTTAAATATGCAGCATGGCTCGCTGGCTAAATGCAATCAGAAATATGTAGTTCACGTCGGCAAGTTCTTACCAGTTCTATAAAATATATATTATGTCATAATAAGGATTTAGTTTTTTTTTTTAGTTCTACATCAATTGCTTTCTAAAAGGAATAGATGCTTTTATATAGGATTCTTTCATTTTCTTCACATCATTGGTTATGATGTTAGAATTGGCAAGGCAGTGTTTTCAAGAAGTAGCCAGTGAATTTGTTTGGTTTTGTGTTTTATTATCTCATGATTATCCGTTTATTTTTGGGGGATGGTCACGCTACTTAGAACATAAGTTTAACAAAGAAGTGAAATGTTGTTTTTGTAACTGTAGATTTGTATCATAGGCCTTTGTTTCAAACTATTCTTTAATAGACAAATATTCTTTAGAATGCACTTAAGATTCAAGCCATGAATGCACCATTTTTTTTCGAAAACGGTTCAAGAATTTAAGTAGGGTTAAGTACATGTACATGCAGGCGACAATACAATAATTTTCAAGTCAAATTTGTTGAATGTTTCACATTGTGTTGTGGCTCATAGAGTTATGGCTTGTTTGTGCTGGTCTAGGTCCCATATTGGCATAAAACATATCATATAGATTAGTCAGGGCCTCACTCTGATGGCTTGAAAATGGTGGCCTGAGCCACAGCCACAGCTACGCCATAGTTTGAGAAAAGGCTATTGCTTTTGTTTCAGTGTGCACATCTGTGTAAGCCTGTACATTTGCAACTTGTACGAGCAAATGCGAACATGTACATGAAAAGTTGCCAAGAAGCTGTCAATTTCTCAATTTCTCATACACACAAAAGAAATCCTTTTTTTTTTCCAAAAGACATTTTAAGTGAAGCAAATAAACTAATAATGTTAATTTCAGAAAGCTTTGGAGAACTGTCAAAATTTGAGTGAATTTTTCAAAGTTAAAGGGCAAGGTTATACTCTTATTTGTAAGAATTCAGAGTCCAAAACATGCAATATCTGATTTACTTGAAATTGGACTGAGAATGCAGTTTTCACCTTTTGAGTGTCACCTCAAACCACGATCCATTTCATCAATATTTAGAATCAAGCAGTAAAGACTTCAGAGGATATTTATCAAGTCTTGAATCCATTTTTCAAGACGTTATAACAAAATGTTTAAAATAGAACAAGGCTAACCCCTTGCCGTTACAAAGTTTAGGTGAAAATTTTGAACTTTTTATCTTTGTTTGTTTGGGGTTGGTTTTTTTTTTGGCTGCTAAGAACTCAATTATTAGGTTTTCACCTGAAAAGAATGTCAGGAGGTATTTCATAGTCATGGCTATAAAATCAATCGCCAATGTTATTCTTGTGTGTTTAAAGGTATAGTCCATCATTTGTAGTTTGTGCATTTTGTTCGTTTGATGCAACAAAAGTGCTCAAGATCTAAAGAAGGGTGCTGAACAACTAACCTGATGGAGTTTCAGCTCAGCTTCAGCTGTATATTTCGAGAAAAACAACATTCTAGGATTTCAATTTCAAATCAAAAGTTGCTGAATCATGTTTTGAATTGGGCCTGAATTCAGCATCTGCGACACGTTCTCACTGAGCTGATTGCAGCTTAGCGATGTCGCGCACTGATCCGACGAATTATAGCAACCGCGTGTGCGTTGTGCCAATGCTTGCGTGCACTTTGTCGAATAACAAAATGAACTACTAATTTGGATGCTTCTTAAGAAGCGCCGTTGGAAAAGGCCTTCTTTTGTTGATTTCTTCAAAATTACAGCTTGCCAAAAAGAATAATTTCACAGGGAGTTTAGTGCCCGTACTATTTTTCAACCAAATATGTTTTTCAACAATAATTACGCCAGTTACTTTTTGGATAGCTGCAAATGATGGACTCTGGCTTTAATAAGCCACATGTTGAATGTACATTGTATTTTCACCAAGACTATTAAATATCTGTATCATTTTCAGACTTCTTATTTCAAATCATGTATAATTTTGTGTCTTCCTACATGTAAGTTTACCTAAATTTAATGGGCAAAAATTTAAGTGATTTTTCTTTTCCTTGCACCAAATTCAAGAACACAGTTCACAAGAAATTACCATTCCTGAATGTGATATTGATTTCAATTTTGTACTTTGTGATTGACACACGCCCTTGGTATATTCATGCGAAAAAATTGTGTATAGATCAGTGTAGATTGCTATGTGAACTACAAGTATTGGCCTTAAAACTTTCATATCTGCAGCAACTTTTGAAGCAAAAATTGTATATAATTCAATAATGTAATAAGCAATATAAACAGCCAGCTAATAAACAAAGTCAGGTTCAAGTTAGCATGATCTTCTGTCTATCTGTTCAATTTGTTCGTAACTAGTGGCAAAACCGATATCAGATTATTGTTGTATCTTATCGCCCCAAAATTAAATTACAAAAAAAATCTCTCATGAAGTAAAAAAACAAAAACGACAAACAAACAAATTGTAACACTCCTAATTCCTTTTCATAGTTTAGGTTTGCATTTATTCATTTACTTACTTAATAAATATTTGTTTGTATATTTAAAATTAACAATAAACACTTTCAACAATAAACCCAACTTACAACAATCAACTAAATCTGTTTTCCTTGTGTAAAATATCCCATAAAATACTTTGTTTATTGCTACATATACATGTATTTTGTACACAATAAGTTTGGTGAGAAAGACATTCTTTTTTCAAGGATTTAATTCTAGAAAATAGTGCAGTATACAATTATATATTATATCAATATATTCAGATACAAAAGTTAAAATACAAGATGAAGTGTCTTCGATATTGCATGCAGTAAAATATAATCATCATAACGAGAGAATACTTTGTGATAAATATATCTGACAAATGTTGACAGTAACAACAATGGTTGTTTTCTTCAAAATGTAACTACTCTCAAATGATGCCAGTTGGTCCAAGCTTAATAAAATTGGATTTTAAGTTGTTTGGCCAAAACTGCTCAAGTGTTGATTATTATAGGAATACCTTGCCATTATTAGCCAGAACACAAACTCTATTCTTCAAAGATGCATTCCCTCAGCCAGTTTCAAGTTTCATCCCGAAAAATAGATTCCTTTTCTTAATTGCTATTTCCTAGCAATACAGAAGTTATTCACTTTTGAGTGACACATCAACTGAAAAAAATCAGCCCATGTTTAGTTTATAAATTTTTACTTCACACTTTCGAATAATTGTCTGCCAGACAATAGTTTCGTTCTTGCCTTCCGTTCTCGATAATGTGCAGACGGGGAACCTGTCTGCTCGCAAAGCAGATTTGTTTGTGCCCAAAACAAAACCCTTTTTTTTCAGAGGTTTGCTGACAAGGGAAAAAGGAGGTTCTGTGGTTGGAATGAAACACACAAGTTGAACATTTATTTATAGAAGAAAATAGAATTTGTTGAAGAGCGCAGGAACGCAACTTTAAGCAAATTTGATTAGAAATCCTTGAGTACACCCATACAGTGTCAGTCAAAAAAAAACTACACACTTTTAAAATTGGCCATAGTTTTATTCTGTAGCAATATAGATAAGATATTTTCATATGTACTTTTAAAGTAACTCTTCCTGCTTCTTTTGGTGACATTTTCACTGGATTAGTTTTCATGCATGACTGCACAGGAGACAAAGGGTTGCGCCAACTGTAGTTTGACCAAGTCTCATCAATTTCGGACCATACTACCATCGGTTGCATAGCTGGTAACCAAACTCCACTCATATTGTAATGTACATGTAAAGCAGGGAGCCAGGACTGTCACGCTTTGTGGTGACGTTTGATTGGAGTTCGTCTAGTTCACACGTTAAAATTAATATGGAGGTGCAAGAAAAACACATGAATCAACCTTGAGTCGTCCACTTGTCCTTTATCAAACAAGCCGTTTACAGATCAGCAAATTCAGTGTATTTCACACACAAAAATCTGCAAACATTGCCTTTTTCTTTTTATTGGAAGAAACTAGCACTATTGTTCTAATATTGCTTTTTATACAGTACATGTATTCAGTTGGTCCAAGTCCATAGATTAATTAAAAAGGCCAATTTGTGTCTTACCCTTTACAACTCCTTTCTAGAGTTTTTCTGATATTGTATTGCTTCAAAACTGCTGGAGATTCCCACAACAGTAGTTCTGCCCAAATATATTAAGTGCCAAGATATGTTAAGTATGAATTTAAAATAGAATAGTATATAAATATTTAAAATATTTATAAATATACGTCACTTTTGGTACTGAAATATACAAGAAAACATTAGCTCAGCCATTTTGCACTCTTAGTGCCAAAATTTAGATAAATAGAGATGTAAGTGGACTCTGAAATTCAAGGTACCGGTAATGTGTATTGAGGAAAGTATACACACATGAATGCTGCCATCCATGTGTTATTTACAATTTGTTGCAGGAGGACCAACATCCCTGCAAAACACAGGCATGCAACTGGAAATTTAGAAAAAACGAGGAAATTCCAAACCACACAAGACTTTGTACAGTGTTTTTCAATTTGTTATGGCATTCACGAGAAGTAAAATCCGAGGAAATTAGTGGATCTGAGGAAAGGTTGCATGCCTGATAACACCCGTGAGTATGCACCATATGAAGCTGGAAGGATAATGGCATTTGCAGCAATAAAGCTCAAGGAACATAAAAACTGAAGTTTTGGGAGAATTTGAATACCAGGCAGTACAGAGTATAACCTCATGTCGTGGTTAACAACATCCCAACAAGACCATGTGCGTTGTGGGTAATCTTCGTTATTTTAATTTAGTTACAATAATTCACAAAGGGTTCACTCATACCTATCCCAGTGATACAAAGTCATTGCCCTCCGACTCCGCCTTAACGCACAAGGTCTATAGAATGTATTGCCTTGACCAAGAAATCAACATATTAAACCCTAAAGGCCAGTTCACACTTTGCAAATGCGAAATGAATTTGATGTCATGAACCATATTCCGTAAGATAACTTGACATGGTGTCACAAACTCACTGTTGTGTTTATTTTTGCGCAGGGTAGGAACCGGCCTTAACGCCACAATTTTTTTTTCTTGGAAGTTGTCAGAATCCTTTAAATCCACCACTTTGCAATAATCAGTTGCCCATTGCTAAATTCTCAATTCCCATGTAAATAAAAATAATAATAAAAATGCTTGTAAAGAGCGCTTTATACAAAAGTCTCCAGGCGTTTACAAATGTAAGGTAATAGTGGCTTTTACATTCAGTCCTGAGGCCATTAAACTTCTGCAAAACCAACTCTGGTGCATTTGGCATGTTTAGTTTAGTTTAGGATTGAGCACTTGTATTGCCTCAATTTTATCTACTAAAACATCCCAAACTTTTGTGCAATATTTCTTGAGGTTCATACCTTATGCCAATGCAACTGGGAATGCAAAATGAATTTCATATTTTTAAACATTAATGGCAAAATTTGGAGGTGTTTGAAATGTGTTCAGCTTTTGTGAATTCGCACCGCAAAAACTTGCCATGGCATCATAAATTTGCATTCACAGGTGTTTTTGCCTTGAGAATGAACCAGACTTGAGAAGTATTGAAGTCTGTATAAACCCATGGATCCTTGTGACATCACGTTGTGTACTGGTTGTTTATCGTGATCTCGTCAGCAGGAGGCATGACTTCCACTGAGTAGAATATCCGCTTGCCTCTCAGCCAGCTGTACGTGTTGTCAAACCTCAGAATATCTGCGTCGTCAATGTAAAGAGTCAAATATGCCAATTTTTACCAAAAGAAAATTTGAAGCTTGAGAACACAACACAAATAATAATAGACCGCAAGAAGAGGTCAATGAAACCTGTAAGTCCTGAGTTCCTTGCGCCTTCTTTGCAAATTTCAGGTACCATTAATAGATCATGACTACATAAAGAAAAAAGTTTGAGATAGTGCTCTATACCCATTATACCAAATATTTGATTATTCGATCATCCACCAAACATCTGAATAGCATTTTCTGTGAGGACTATTCAAAGAAAGGTGGGCCGTCTCTAGAAGAGGTGCAGGTACATGTTTGTACGTTGTACCATCTCTACATCAAATTCACGACTAATATCAATAAGATCTAGATGCAACTTACGAGTACCAGGTTCCTTACATCGCAATCCCGCAGCCTTTGGTACCATCCCGAAAGGTCCCAAGATAACAAGTGCTACGTACAAGTACCTGGTTCCTCACATTTCAATCCCCCAACCTCAGGTACCATCTCACAATCATCACTAATTAAAAGGTTTCATGACAACAAGTGCTACTTACAAGTACCAGGTTCCTGGCGTCTCAATTCCCAGCCTCAGGCACCATTTCACTATCATGACCCATTTAAAAGGTTCCAAGATAACAAGTGCTACTTACAAGTACCAGGCTCCTCACATCTTAGTCCCCCAGCCACAGGTACCATCTCACTATCATGACCCATTTATATGGTTCCAAGATAACAAACACTACTTACAAGTACCAGGTTCCTCACATCTCAGTCCCCCAGCCACAGGTACCATCTCACTATCATGACCCATTTATATGGTTCCAAGATAACAAACACTACTTACAAGTACCAGGTTCCTCACATCTCAGTCCCCCTGTCTCAGGTACCATCTCACTACCATGACCCATTAAAAAGGTTCCAAGATAACAAGTGCTACTTACAAGTACCAGGTTCCTCACATCTCAGTCCCCCTGCCTCAGGTACCATCTCACTATCATGACCCGTTTAAAAGGTTCCAAGATAACAAGTGCTACTTACAAGTACCAGGTTCCTCACATCTCAGTCCCCCTGCCTCAGGTACCATCTCACTATCATGACCCGTTTAAAAGGTTCCAAGATAACAAGTGCTACTTACAAGTACCAGGTTCCTGGCGTCTCAATCCCCTGTCTCAGGTACCATCTCACTATCATGACCCATTTAAAGGTTCCAAGATAACAAGTGTTACTTACAAGTACCAGGTTCCTCACATCTCAGTCCCCCTGTCTCAGGTACCATCTCACTATCATGACCCATTTATAAGGTTCCAAGATAACAAGCACTACTTACAAGTACCAGGTTCCTCACATCTCAGTCCCCCTGCCTCAGATACCATCTCACTATCATGACCCATTTATAAGGTTCCAAGATAACAAGCACTACTTACAAGTACCAGGTTCCTCACATCTCAGTCCCCCTGTCTCAGGTACCATCTTACTATCATGACCCATTTAAAGGTTCCAAGATAACAAGTGCTACTTACAAGTACCAGGTTCCTCACATCTTAGTCCCCCAGCCTCAGGTACCATCTCACTATCATGACCCATTTAAAGGTTCCAAGATAACAAGTGCTACTTACAAGTACCAGGTTTCTCACATCTTAGTCCCCCAGCCACAGGTACCATCTCACTTTCATGACCCATTTATAAGGTTCCAAGATAACAAGTGCTACTTTCAAGTACCAGGTTCCTCACATCTTAGTCCCCCAGCCTCAGGTAACGGCCATCTCACTATCATGACCCATTTAAAGGTTCCAAGATAACAAGTGCTACTTACAAGTACCAGGTTCCTCACATCTTAGTCCCCCAGCCTCAGGTACCATCTCACTATCATGACCCATTTAAAGGTTCCAAGATAACAAGTGCTACTTACAAGTACCAGGTTCCTCACATCTTAGTCCCCCAGCCTCAGGTACCATCTCACTATCATGACCCATTAAAAAGGTTCCAAGATAACAAGTGCTACTTACAAGTACCAGGTTCCTCACATCTTAGTCCCCCAGCCTCAGGTACCATCTCACTATCATGACCCATCTAAAGGTTCCAAGATAACAAGTGCTACTTACAAGTACCAGGTTCCTCACATCTTAGTCCCCCAGCTTCAGGTACCATCTCACTGTGCACTTTCTCAAGTGGTTTCATCTCAATCAGATCATAGCAACCTTCCTTTGGTGTTGATGATGATGATGTCGAAGTCGACGATGCAGCCGATGAAGATGAAGACGATGAGTGATTTCTTGTCTTGCTGTGTCCTATCCTGTGACTGTCACGCTTGGAACTGGCAGAGCCTTGTAGAAACACGCCGTAACAAATATTGCACTTTTCTGTTTTAAATTCCCACCTGAAATAAGAAAAAAGTCAAATCAACAAGAAACAAAGGTTATCTTAATTGATTCTTCTGATTTCAAACAAAAGGCTTGTGTTAAATTTACAACATCCTTTGAGATATTTAGAAAGCAAGAGATACTTGACGTTGTAAAATATAATTTAGTTTTCATCATAATAACAATCTGTAGTTTGTTAATACATTTTGCGGTATTTACCAACAACTCCGAACAATATAAGGTAATTATGACTCATAAAAAAGATACAAATTTACATCAGCAATCATAGCACGTGCCCACTGAAAGTGAAATAAAGATAGTGCATGGCTTCATTGGCAAGTAGTAAAAAGTTTAACCAAAACATTGTTATTAAATGGGGTCACTCTTTTTGCACTATTTAACAACTTTCTCTAACTCAGATTTCAAATGTTGTATAACATTACAATAAAATTACTGGATCAACAAAAATGTTAGGAATCAAAGGCACTTTATACCAGTACTGTATAGGAAAAATAATTGATTTTTTTTGGCAATCCAAAGTAAATACTTTTTAATAGCTAAAAATTGATATTGACTGTGGCCGATTACAACAGAGTGCATTGAATCATCAAACAAAGACAATGTGTGAAACAGGATGTGAAGGACAATTCACTGCTATGTGGTCTTCACTCAACACTAGTCAAACCCATGTACACCAGTGTGCATGAAACAAGATGGCTGTGCTGTATGTACCGGCTATGCTTCAGAATTTGCAAGAGATTCAGGGGCGGATCCAGGAATTTTCGCAGGGGGGGGGGGTGTTTCATCAGCCAAAAAATCTGAAAATGTACACAGGTTTTTTTCTCCGGACACTTGGCCTCCGTAAAATCAAAAACTGGGGGGGGGGGGGGGGGGGGGGGGGGGGGGGGGGGGGGGGGGGGGGGGGGGGGGGGGGGGGGGGGGGGGGGGGGGGGGGGGGGGGGGGGGGGGGGGGGGGGGGGGGGGGGGGGGGGGGGGGGGGGGGGGGGGGGGGGGGGGGGGGGGGGGGGGGGGGGGGGGGGGGGGGGGGGGGGGGGGGGGGGGGGGGGGGGGGGGGGGGGGGGGGGG